AAAGAGTGTGTTTCTTACTTGGGAGCATCTGGGTGAAATCTGTCTGGATCAAATCTCAGTGGATCCTTGAAGAATCTCTCCAGTCTCCCACTCGCATAGGAGCTGAACTAAACATTAGAACAGTTTATTATTTATCTCGATTCCAGGTAACTTTTTTTTTTTAAAGGACTTAAGCTGGTGGGGGGGCTGTTTGGGTTCTGTTTGAGTAAATGATTAGAAGCATACACGCATACACACACCCATCTTCAAACCAAAAGGTATTAAAACATATTTAAAATCTTCACAACTTACAAGAGCAACAAATCCTCCAGGTATGTGGATCCCATCAATCACCATGTCTTCAGCAATATGACGAGATGTGCCCGGAGCTGTGGGGTACATTCTCAGAGTCTCTTTTAACACCTGGGGGAAGATTACAAGGAATACGTGTAATGTGTATGTGTTAGTCTGCATTTAACCCAGTGAAGCAGTGGGCAGCCACTGACTACTGAGCTATCCCTGCCTGTAAACTGGTCTTGTGTCATAACACACGAGATGCAGCCTTTGATTGTTAGTTGACAAACTTTGATTTTTAATCTCATGGATTCACACTGAAAACATTACCACAAAGTTAAAAAAAAGAAAGAAAAGTAGCAGTTCTCCATCACGCTGGTTACTTCAGGGGTCTCAAGACTGACTCAGAGGGATTCAGGGTTCAAAACTCATTTTACTGTCATTCAGCACTACCTCAGGAAAGCGATGCAGAACAAAAATATGTGGCATGAGCTCAAATAAAAACACAAAAAACCTCATTGCGATGTTTAAAAAGAGGCAAGTGTGAGACATAAATAAATGTAAAATAACAAAAAACAGTGCTGCATATTTGAAAACACAAATAAAAATGATTCAATTATTGCACAAGAGAGCCGATGAGCTGATTGCACTGGAAATTCTTTCTTGACAGATTTGTAGAGTATAATAATCTACAAAATAGCAGCTGTTTGAGCTGTGCAACAGTCTGATGGTGGTTGCAAAGAAGCTTCCACAGAACTGCAATGACCTGCACCTCTACGTTACTGTCTGCCTGAAAGCAGGAGTGAGAACAGACCGTGGTTGGGGTGTGAGGTGTCCCTGATAAGGTTTTTGCAGCGTTGTTGGGCCAGGCCCTAAATAGATGGCAGGGTGGCTCCACTTGTCCTCGTTCTCATGCTAGAGATATGCTGCTTGTCAGCACACTCTCAGCGGTGCCTCTTTAGGAGGTGGTGAGAACATCTGGACTCAGATGTGACCTTTTCAGCCTTTCTTGATCAGTGAGGTGGTGTGCAGGGACAGACCATACATCACATCAACTCCCAGGAAGTTCATGTGCTCCATGCTCTCTGCTGCGGTGTCGTTGATGTAGAGCAGTCTGAACGAGGGGTTTCTTCCTGTAGTCAGTCACCAGTTTCTTGGTTTCATTCACATTCAGGAGAAAGTTGTTGTTGCTGATCCACACTGTGAAAAGCTCCACTATCTCTCATCGCTGTCCTGGATCAGACCCACGGCTGTTGTATTCACAGTGTAGTTAACCCTTTAAAGCCGGTCGGATCGGGCACGCTCTGTTTTGCATAACTATTTTTAAATCCCGGTAGCACTGCAACCACGTAAGCTAGCGCAATATTTTTTTTTTGCATATGAAACCAGAGGTCAAGGTCAAGGTAACTTTATTTATACCCATAGGCAAGGTAAACTTGCCCAGCCCTGGAGCAGGGTGCCGCCGGTGCATCGAGCCACCTGGGGGGCTCTTCAACTGGTGGGGAAGATTGTCACATCTTGCAGGAGCTTTCCTCTCCTCAGGGGCTCTCTCTGCAGGAGGGGGAGATACAGGAGAGGTACTTAGACATTCACATTACTCACACTCTCATTACACATACATATAGGATCTTGGGGGTGGGCACGATACACGGAATCCAAAGTACCATCAGGGTGTACACCTCACCCCTGGCGTCGTTGCCCACCTCTCAATTTTAAATACACGTAGACATTGAGGGCTAGCAGGAGGGACCATGCGCTTACCTGCTGCTCTCTGGCAGGTAGCTCCATGCCCTCCTGGGTTTTAAATGCACCTTAGAACACACATGCATCAACACTACAATGAGCGGGTGGAGGGAGGTTTGGAGTCTTCTCTCACCCCCGTTCTCTGCGACCTGCTGGAGCGGGGGGGCTAGGAGGAGGAGTTGGCCGTCCGACTGCGGTCTGGGGTGTGGGGCCTCCCTACTGCTGCGGAGTCGGGGCGGTCTGCCTCCCCCCACCGCAGGGAAAAGGGTAACACCACCTGGGTCTGGGTGCAGTTCCCCCTCCAGGGGCAAGGGTACCTAGACCCGGTTTGTAGAGTACGCTTGGGGAGTGTGATCGTGTGTACAACGTCTCTTTATGTCTGTCTCCACGTTGGTTGAGTGTGGAGTAAGTGCATATGAGGGTGGGAATGGATGTTTGTGTCTGTGTGTGCCTGTATGTCTGTGTCTATATGTCAGGTTGGGTATCAGGCGCCACCTCTCTGGGGACATCTCAGGCCCTCCAAGGTTTGGAGGCCTATCTCCACCCACCACCACTTCCCTGCCAGTGGCGGACCCCCTCAGACATCGGTGCGTTGGTGGTTCTTTGTGTCCGGGGATGGGCGTCCAGGTACACACCGGCTCACTCCTTGGCGGCCGCTTATCGGGGCCTGGAGCCTGGGGCTCGCTCGGGCCACTTCGGAGGTGGGGTGCCCCCGGCCTCTCGGCTTGGGGCTCGGTCACTCAGGCACGGCTGGCTGCCGGCGGAGCTCACGGGCGCGTCACTGCAACTCCCCCTGGCTTCTGCTCCGCGGCTGCTGAGTGAGCCCTCATCTGGGACTCTCCTCAGCTCTTTCTGGGACAGTGGCGCGGCTGCCCCTCTGTTGGTCTTCCTTGGTCTCTTGTGTTCTGGGGGCCTCTGGATGTCTGGAGTTTTGATCTCCTCCATACCTGCTTCATGCCCTGGAGGACGGGGCTGTGGCCCCCCCACACCCTCTAGCAGATCATTACATGAAGGAACCTTTTAAAAAACAAAAAACAAGCGCGTCCATGCTCACAGGTGTACACACGGGTGATCACACCCACAAACTACACCCTTTTTGGCTCCTACCTCAAAGCACACTGTGTTCTGTTGATCTTATGTGCTGCACAATAATGTTTAATATTTAGTATTTACTGTCATATTCCCATATATCATTGTGATGCTGTTTATTCTATTACTCTTGTTCTCTTCTGCTTGTTTTCTTTTTTCTTTCTCAGCAGGTGATCCAGGTGATTGATATATGCATTTTTTTTCCTTCTTTTTTTTCTGCTCATTCTGTTGGTTTTTGTCTTTTGCCCTTCTCCCCCGTCCCTCTTCTCAGCTGTTTCTCTTTCCCTCTTTCTTTCTCCCCTTCTTTCCCCCAGTCAAGTCTGTCCCATATTCAGTAAGTGAAAATAAAATGAACAATAAAAGGTGAATCAAATGGACCATTACGGCAAGGCTGGGATGGTCAATTTGGTAAAGTAAATCCGTTGGGCATCTTTCTTTGCCTTTAGACAACAATTCTGATGCAAAAGAGCCAAACGGGACAGGCCAAAAAAAAAAAAAAAAAATGATAGCATTTAGCATCCCTTCAAAAACACACATATCCAATAAAGATATAAACCTCCCTGTAGCACATATATAGTAATTTAATATTTCGAATCAAAAACAGTTTTTATTTAATTCAAAGACAGCAACGGGGACAAAGCTATTTTTATAATGCTTTGTCCTACATCTCGGAAATAGAAACCTCCGTCCTGAGGAAAGAAGCTGAAATTCACCCCTTAGCGGATGGGAACCATTTTTAAGGATTGATAAAGCCATCCTCTGTACCTGCTTGGAGTACAGGGAGGCTAAACAAGACTGTGGCTCACCTATCAGACGACTGGACCATCTCACTATCTGATTTAGAGAGTTTTTCTCTGTGACAGAGGTCTGACCAAACCATGCCACCAAACAAAAGGATAAAACAGACTCAATAAACGAACGATAAAACAAAGTTAAAATTAAAAGAGGAGTTGTACTTACATCAGCTTGTCCTCGGTCACAGTTTCCTTCCACATAAAGCTTTGCAAAAACTGCATAAAAAGCACTTGCAGCAACAAAGACATAATATTCCAGAAACACGCTTTGCCGATCAGATCAGCTGTTTGTAACACTTCCTATGTCCATCAGCGCGAACTATCGCATGTCCGCCATGACTTGCCTAAGACCGGAAGTGACGTTATTTTGCGGAAATGTATTTTTTTTTTTACCATCAGGGCTTTATGAGCCTATACTGGTGTTTTTAAAAGTTATGTTTGACTTTATGACTTTCTGTGTCGTTTCTGGGATGCTTAGGGTTAGGGTTAGGTGCACTGCTGAAAATAGTTTATTTTGATGCATATGCTTTTTTTTTTTTGAAATTTGCATTATAATATTCATTTTCATTTTTCCTGCAGTATATAAAAATTGGTGTATTTCAAAAATAAAAATATGAAGACATTTAAAATAAATTTCCTGTGGTGGGAAACTATTTTGTGCAACTTTATTGTATTTGCAGTTTTGAGGGATAAGCCTCATAAATTTCTCTAACTAGAAATATATGTTAAAAAAACAAAAACAATTTTCAAATTTTTTGTAGTTTATTGCACTTTTTTGCAATTTATGTAATGCACTTAATGCATGCATATTATTATAATTTGGGCTATAATGGTTGTATTGATGTATATCAACTTGAAATGCTCCCAGAAATGGCTCCACAGCATGTAAAAATATAATATAAGCTCTGGCGGACTTGGTTCTATGGTAGTTCTTAAAGGGTTAATAGGATTTATACAAAAATCTGTGGAACAATCGTGTCATCATGTCAAGGCTATAGTCACTTAAGCAGGTGACTGAGGGTTTCTTTGGCGCTGGGATGATGTGATTTGTAGCAGGATGGCACAGCATCTTGGAAGCATGCAGACTTAAACAAAAAAAAATTCTGTGGGATCTCAAAATTTATTTTCATTTTCATAACATGCAGCACTTTTATGAAAATCTTGGATGCTATGCAGGCACAAAAGGTTCCTTTGCTCACTGGTTATTAAAAAAAGTCACATCAAACTATGTGATGATTTTGTGCAAGATTAAAATGCTAAGTGCAAACGTTATTATACCAGCACTCCCCATGATGTTACCATATATATTATCATAATGAAGACATAAGCATGATTACATTCATTTCATATGAATTTACAGTGTAGTTCATACATGACACAATTTTTTCTTTAAATTCTTTTTTTTTTTTAAATCACAAGTTTTAGACAGGAATAAAAATCAAATCAGTTTTACCCTTTAAACCAGAGGTGTCAAACATGAGGCCCGGGGGCCAAATTGGCCTACGGCCATTAATATTACGGCAATGAAATTCAGTAGTAAGTAAACAATTTAAGGACAGAAAAGTTTCTATTTTTCAACATCTACTACAGAAAGTTTAGGGTTTTTGTTATTGTAAAAACAAAAACAGCAACAAAAACAAAAAGTCCTCAGTAAAATAAAATTTTTAAAAGAGAAAATCCATTCTGTTCTTGACAAGGATCTTTTTACACATTTATTTCTACAATTTAGACTCAAAGAGTTGTGCTGATTTCAGTTACTAAAGAAGCATTTCTAAATCATGTAGCAAAACTGAGACATAGTGTTGAAGCTGTACTTTCTTTTCCCTATATTAATATATCTCAGGGACCAAAAATAGACAACTTTTTATGTAAAGTCCTTTAAGATCATTTATTTTTGTAATCCCTGTGACTCAAAGTGCACAACACTCCACTCTTTGGTCTGAGTGTGCCAGCATCCAGGATGTCAAAGGTCTGTCCCGGGACGAGAGTGAAGTCAAACCTCTGGAGCAGTTTGGCCATCACCACTTTAGCCTCCATCTAAAAAACACAACAGCGCCCACAGAGATGAGTCAGTGTGTTTATAGGTGAGCGGGTCTTCATGTTGACTTACGCTGTCATCCTCACCTGAGCAAAGTTCTGTCCCAGACACGAGCGAGGACCGAGGGCAAAGGGGTAGTAGCAGTAATAAGGCCTTGAACAGATAAGAGACAGCCTCAGTTACTGTGAACCGTTTCACTCATTTAGTCTGAGATAATAAAGTGTGTGCAAATATTAAACATAATGTTTAATGTTTAAACATTATGTTTAAACATTAAACACACTGTTTCAGCATGGTGAAACAGTGTGTTTCTTACTTGGGAGCATCTGGGTGAAATCTCTCTGGATCAAATCTCAGTGGATCCTTGAAGAATCTCTCCAGTCTCCCGCTCACATAGGAGTTGAACTAAATATGAGAAGATTTAATTTTACATTTTAACCATAAATGTATTTGTAATTGCTTGAATAAGACCTCATTTTTTATCATCATCATCATCATCATCATCATCATCATCATCATCATCATCATCATCATCATTTATTTATTTATATAGCACTTTAAAAACACACTTGGTAGACCAAAGTGCTGTACACTACTAATATGCACATAATAATAAAACCAAACATAGCAATAAAGTTAAAAAACAATAAAAATGTCAGTTACCCACGGAGTTAAAAGCCAGGGAATAAAAATAGGTTTTTAATAAAGACTTAAAAACTGGCACTGATGCAGCCTGTCTAATATGGAGAGGAAGGTTATTCCAAAGCATCGGCGCGGCAACAGAGAACGCTCGGTCTCCTCTAAGTTTCAGCCGTGACTTTGGGACCGAAAGCAGCAACTGCTCAGCTGACCGAAGGGAACGAGTGGGGACGTGGGGCTTCAACAAGTCAGACAAATAAACAGATGCCAGACCATTTAGAGATTTAAAAGCCAATAAAAGGACTTTAAAACGGATCCTGAATTCAATTGGAAGCCAGTGTAAAGAGGCCAAAATCGGAGTGATGTGATCAAATTTTCTTCTGCCAGTTAAAAATCGTGCCGCAGCATTTTGCACTAATTGCAAGCGTGACAAACTGCCCTGCCCAACCCCTTTTAAAAGAGAATTACAATAATCTAAACGTGAGGTAATAAAGCCATGAATAAAGCTTTCCAAGTCACGCTTGGAAAGAAAGGGCTTAACCTTTGATAAACGTCTGAGGTGATAAAATGCTGATTTTACCACCCCGTTTACATGGTCATCAAAGGTGAGTGCAGAATCAATTTTAACTCCGAGATTTGTGATCGAACTCTTTAGTTGGGAAGTCAAAGCTGCAAGATCAACATCCAGAGTATGAGAAGAACGATTTGGGCCAAATAAAATTGCTTCTGTCTTCCGATCATTAAAATTTAAAAAGTTTTTTGCCATCCATGCTTTGACATCAGTAAGGCAGTCAAGCAGAGGTCCAGTTGGGAGACTATCAGAATGACTAAAAGGTAAGTAGAGCTGGCAGTCATCTGCGTATAAATGGAATGGCACTTTATACTTTCGGAAAATCGCGCCAAGAGGCAAGAGGTACAATGAAAACAGTAACGGCCCAAGAATAGATCCCTGTGGAACACCCCAAAGCAGAGGGGCCACAGAGGATGAAGCCGACCCCAACTTAACACAAAATGTCCTATTTAAAAGATAGGACTTTAACCACAAAAGTGCCGAACCAGTAATTCCCACACAGTGCTGTAAGTGGGAGATCAGCAAATCGTGATCCACAGTGTCAAATGCAGCTGTCATGTCCAACAAGACCAGCACTGCATATTTACCACGGTCTGTCGCTATCAGGATGTCATTCATAACTTTTACGAGGGCTGTCTCCGTGCTGTGGAATGGCTTAAAGCCGGACTGAAAGATTTCTGACAATTTAGAGTCATTCAAGTAGTCCATCAACTGAGTATAAACAATCCTTTCCAGAATCTTACTAAGAAAGGGAAGCTTAGAGATGGGTCTAAAATTTGATATGACTGAACTGTCTAAGCCTGGTTTCTTAAGTAAAGGATGTATGACTGCATGCTTAAATTCCCTAGGTACTTGACCAGACAAAAGACTAGTATTAATTTTATGTTTTTCTGACAACTTTGTGACAGTTTATACATACACTACCAGTCAAAGGTTTGGACACTTTTCTTATTCAATGTTTTTTTCTGTTTTTTTCATGAGTATTTACATTGCAGATTTTCACTGAACGCATTAAAACTTTGAATGAACTCATATGGAATTATGTAATAAACAAAAAAGTGCGAAAGAACTCAAAACATGTTTTATATTTTAGATTCTTCCAAATAGCCACCCTTTGCACTCTTGGCATTCTCTCGATGAGCTTCTTGAAGTCATCGCCTGAAATGTTTTTCCAACAGTCTTGAAGGAGTTCCCAGAGATGCTGAGCACTTGTTGACTCTCTTGCCTTCACTCTGCGGTCCATCTCATCCCAAACCATCTCCATTGGACAGGTGACTGTGGAGGCCAGGCCATCTGACGCAGCCCTCCATCCCTCTCCTTCTTGGTCATATTGCCCTTTACACAGCCTGGAGGTGTGTTTGGGGTCATTGTCCTGTTGAAAAATAAATGATGGTCCAACTAAACAAAAACTGGATGGGATGGCATGGCACTGCAGGATGCTGTGTTAGCCATGCTGGTTCAGTGTGCCTCCAATTTAGAATACTAAATTGAGACTCTTGGTCTTTCCTGGTGCGCTCCTCAAGTGAGCCAGTTTCATTGTAGCGCTTGATGGTTTCTGTGAATGCACTTGGGGACACATTCAAAGTTTTAGCAATTTTCCGGACTGACTGACAGACTTTCTTTACTTAGAATTCATATAATGGCGAGAACCAATCAGCTAACAGGTGACTACATCATGAAGCTTATTGAGAGAAGGCCAAGAGTTTACAGCGCTGTCAACAAAGTTAACAGTGGCTACTTTCAGGAATCTATAAAACATATTTAGAGTTAATTATCTTTTTTTCTTCGCTACATAACTCCATATATCTTGCTTCATATATTTGTTGTCTTTAGTATGTAGTTATCATTTAGACTTACAAACATATTAAAAAGAAAATGACTCACAACAACGCTAAATCCCCCGGGTATGTGGATATCGTCAATCACCATGTCTTCAGCAACATCACGAGACGTGCCTGGAGCTGGGGGGTAAATTCTTAGAGTCTCTTTTAACACCTGAAGGAAGGTTACAATGAGAAGTGCACACTTTGGGTGAGTTATTAAAATAAATAAATGAATAACTAAATTTACCACATGTACCTGTGACAGGTAGACCAGCTCTCCTAAGTCGTCATAGCTTATGTCACGTTTCATCCCAATGACATCATCGACCTCTTTCTTCGCTCTAAGAAATAAAAATACAATTTAGAAAACCAAAATTCACTCTATATATTACACAGTTGTAACTGCAGAAATATTACCTAAATCATCTTTAGAGGTTAACACAGGTCATAGGAGTAAATATGTAGAAACAGATGTAAAACTACATTTTTTATAGAGAAAAATGCACATCTACATAAATGTCTGTGGGCTTGAGATTTATATAATCTCAGGATTGGGAATATTTTTGATGTTTGATATTTTGATGGATCAAATTAGAAGAAGTTGTTTTCACACAACGGGTTGACAGTCAGATCTGAGGGACACACTGATTGTAAGAACTGGATCTATCAGACTGACTGTACAACAAGTGTGTCACGGCAAGAAGCTTTCTGAAGATCTCACAGACTTTTGTTTAAGTCCTCTTTACTTATAGGTTCAATCAGATGATGTTTCAGGTTATATTCATGCAAAAATATAGAAAATTGTAAATAGAAAGTGTAAATTGTTGAGTTCTGTTTGACTTCTTACTTCTCTAGTATTTCAGGATGTCTTCCAAGCGCCATGATGCAAAAACCCAGTTGATTGGCTGTTGTTTCTTGGCCTAAAATGTTGCCAGTTTGTCAATAATGCGTCATGTAACAAAAATAAATCATACGTTTCTTTTTCTTGATTGCTATTTTATTCATTTGCAAATGTTATCGTCCTTGTCACAAACAAAGTTTGAAAAGAGTATGTGGCGGAGCGTGGTCTGTGGCGCGGCTATGGGGAAGGCGGACACACCTGAGTGCCATCAGCTCATAACACCTCAACTGCATTTAAGTCTGGACTGGTGTCTTGGGTGAGTTGTTGTTGGTGTGTTTGGCTGACAGCTTAAAAGCTGCATCCGAGTTGTAAATGACAACCGAAATAAAGAAGAAATGCTGAAAAGTGTTGAAACGTGGTCAGGTCTGTCATGCATCTTTTACAGAGTAATAAATATATATACACATTTTTTTCTTTTGGGGGGGGGGGGGGAATTTGAGACAAACAGTCAGTAACCAGTGTTGGTCAAGTTACTTGAAAAAAGTAATCAGTAACTAATTACTGATTACTTCCCCCAAAAAAGTAATCCCGTTACTTTACTGATTACTTATTTTCAAAGGTAATTAATTACTTAGTTACTTAGTTACTTTTTAAAAACACGATTTGCAACCTGAATAGGTGATAAAGCGATAGATCTTTCAGCCCAATTCTACTTTTTCTGCATAATCCATCATACAAAATGTAATCAAATGGAAAAGCATCTTTTTAAAACTTGTTTTATTAGTTTTAATCTTTTAACTTTATGCATCAAGCAAAAATTTAATTCTATGCAACATTCTCTGACTGGAAGAAATTAGTTTAACATTTAAACCTATTTTCTGCACATTCCAGCACATAAAATAATTTTTTGTGTGTGTTTACACTCAGTCTTTCAAATAGATGCAAGTAAAACACAGCAGAAAATAAATAAAGTCAAAGACTCAGCGGTCCTGTTGCTCTATTTCCACCTGTAAAGCAGGAGTGGGGTAGGCGGAGGTTTACCCTGGTGCAGGTGTGCCGCAGCGGTCAGTGGAAGAATCCGCGAGTTTCTCTGTGAGTTTCCCATTACGTCGTTGCGCACTCGGTGCTTGTTTGGAAGTTTAGGGGTTTTTTTCGCTGTAAAAAGAAGTTTTCTTCCCACGCACAATGGACGCTAATGTTTTTGTCACTTTTTATGGAATCAAACTCAAAGTAAGGTCAGTACTTCCACGCTTTAAATGCTGCACGCTCATACTATCTCCCGCACTCGATATATGATCCATTGTTGATGCACACAGCTGTTGCCACGAACGTCGCACTCGCTTACGTCAGTGTCATGAGACATTCTCGCAAAAAAAAATTAATCACGGTTTTAGTAACGCAGTAACGCAGCGTTCCTACTGGAAAGTAACGGTAATCTAATTACCGTTTTTGCAATAGTAATCCCTTACTTTACTCGTTACTTGAAAAAAGTAATCGGATTACAGTAACGCATTACAAGCAACGCGTTACTGCCCATCTCTGTCAGTAACACAGGAACTAGAGTTGTGTGACACAGTGTGTGTGTGCAGATATTATGCAGCCCCTCTGGATAAGAAAGGACAGTTTTGTCCATGCTAAGTGAACACGTGACAACAATTCACAGACAACAGTGGCCACATTGTGTAAAACTGAAAATAAAACACACTCTTCAGTGCAGTGAGCTTCGTCTGACGCTACAAAGGAGCTTCCAGCTGCATTTCACACATCAAAGCTGAAACAACAGAGACTCACCTGCAATGAAAAATGTCACAAAATTGTCCAGCATAAATTCTTCATCTTCTTCAGTCATGTTTTCCTCTGAAATGAGGAGAGAATGGACAGATACATCGATATTTAACTTCTCCTGGTTTCCAACATTACTTACAAACCACATGCACCGAACTGAGAAGGCATCAAAAACTGTGGGTCACATTTGTTCTATTCACTTTGTCTCGTCACAAAGAGAATAAAATATTGCTCTAGTCTAGTCTAATGTGAAATTTGGGAACTCCAACCTTGGCTTGCAGTTTTGATGATTTGTGTCAGGATGTCTTTGGGGACCTCGTCACCGTTTTGCATGGTGGTCTTTCTCTCACTGATCCACTTGGCTCCAGTTGTACGGAGCAGACGGCACGCTTCCCTCACCTCATTAACATTTCGTCTGTTCTTTGGATTGAACTGGAATGGCAGACTGAAGGGTTTAGCCTGGCATCCTGATAACAATGTTGTTGGCAGACATACTTCATAACAACAAACGCTGAAGTAATACCTCAAAAAATACGTCTCTAACATAGGTAACCATTCCTTTCAGACATGTCTCAATGGCTTTAGGGAAAGGTGAACTATTCTTCAAGAGGTCCAAGTCCACCCCGAAGGCAACCTGAAATATCAAGACACGGATGGACCTGCACTCACACTTACAACACGCTTAGAAACTTTTTAACAGTAAATTAAAACAAACGTAAAAGCTTGTGCCTTCATCAGAATTATGAAAAAAACAACAAAAAAATCCCCACGTTGCATCTGTAAAACTGACTATGATACCTTACTAATAACATCCAGGGTGACACAGTTGAGAAGATGGAGCATATTAGCTTCTGTTTTATTGTCAGCAAGCTCTGCAAGTTTATCCATCAGTTTCTCTGCCCTCTCATTGAAGGTTCCCATTAGACCTCTCAGATACCTGGAAGTATGATAGCTTTAGACGGAGAAGCAGCACATCCAGGACATCCCAACAAACCATCACAGAAATTCATTAAAGGATAATGTTGCACAGAAAAAAAAAAGGGAGATGTTTCCAACCCTGGACAAGTGGTTAATCATACAGACTGTTGTGTCTTTATGTGGCAACTATGAAACTCACAGGCTGCTGAACGCAGGGTCCATGATGCGTCGCTGTTTGTACCACTGCTCATGATCCCGTGCTGTTACCAGGCCATTTCCAAAGAACCTGAAAAGATATTGAGAAAATTAATAAAAATAGCAAAATATGATTGCAACACAAATGATTTTAACTCTGTAAAAGTCAGGAGCTCAACAGATTACATTGTCACACAGCAGGTTTTATTATTATCATAGTTAAATTGCTGCTAGCATGGCTACACAGCATGTTAAGTTACTGCTGAGTTGCATTTAGTTTGAACAGTAATGTATGGATACATAAATACAAACTACTTGTGGTCAGATGTTTACATATATTAATCATTGGCATGAATGTCAATTCATGTTTTAATGATTTCTTTGAACGTTTCTTTCTCTGGGGTGGAAAGACTGTGCAGTATATAACTGGCTTCACAAGTGTAAATTAATTTCACAGTGGGTCAAAATTATACAAACATCTTCAAATATCTACATACACTACTGTCATGATCCGGAGTTTGTGACTCCGTGTTTTGTTTTAGTAGTTATTATTATTCTGGGTTTTATTTTCATGTTCCTATGTGTTCCCCAGTCTGTGTGAAGTTTGTGTGTTGTGTCATTGCGTGTATGTGTTTCCTGTTTTATTTTGAAGGTCTGCGTCTTATGTGAGTGTTAGTATTTAGCATTTAGTATTTATTTATTTATTGTCATTGTCAAGAACAATGAAATTGCGTTTGGGGCTTCCATACAACCCAAAAAAAAGAAGAAAATAATAAATACCCCTTAAAACCCAAGTGTACATATTTAACCCAGTGTGACTCCAATGCAATAAGACAATCCTTAGCAATAATGTTCGTAGAAATTCAGACAAAGACCTGAGAAACATGACAAAATACAACAATGCAACCCATTCAATATTATTGTACTGTGAGATATGATATCAGATATGATAGTTATCTGTTTAAGAAAGAGGGGGGGGGGGGGGGGGGGCAGGAGGGGGAAGAGAATAAAGATATGATGCACCAATGCAGACCAGTTCATTGCTATTAAGAAGTTGGATATGGTTATTGTCCGTGAGAGGGGGGCAGAGAGTTCAGGAGCCTCACAGCCTGTGGATACAGGCTGTTGGCCAGTCTGGATGTTCTGGCCTGTATAGACCTGTACCTTCTCCCTGAGGGCAGCAGATGGAAAAGGTGGCGCGCAGGGTGATGTTGGTCCCGCAGGATACTGTGCACCCTCCTCAGACAGCGAGTGGGGAAGATATTACTGATCTCTGGCAGACTTGTTCCAATAATTCTGCCAGCTTCTTTCACCACCCGCTGGAGTGCTTGCTGATCGGCCTTGGTGCAGCTGGGGAACCACACTAGAAATCCATACGTCAGAACGCTGCTGATGGCACAGTTGTAGAAGTTCAACATCAGAGATCTGGGAATGTGTGCGCTCCGCAGTCTCCTCAGGTAGTAGAGGCGCTGTTGGGCCTTCCGTACAACTGAGGTGATATGGTTGCCCCAGGACAGGTCCTCGGTCACAGTTACCCCCAAGAATTTAAAACTGCTGACCCTCTCCACCGCCTCACTGCCAATGAAGAGAGGCAGATGGTTGTTATGGCCCCTCTTCCGGAAATCTACAATGATCTCCTTGGTCTTTTTGGTGTTTAAGACCAAGTTATTGTCGTGGCACCATGACTCTAGTTGTTGCACCTCTGTCCTATAGTTTGTCTCATCATTGTTGGATATAAGTCCGAGCACTGTTTTCAGTTTGCCTCCCTAGTCTCGTCACGTTAATCACTCCCAGCTGTGTCCCCCACCTGTGTGTAATCTCCCTGTGTTCTTTGAGTGTTTTTAAGTCGTGTCTTCTGTCTTAGTCGTTGCTGGTTCGTCTGTGTTGTTTCCCCTCGGTCTCCCTATGTATTTCCCCGGACCTCCCTGCATCTTCGTTCAGGTTTGTTTTCTTAGCTCTGCCCAGTTTAGGTTTTCCAGTTTTATGTTCACCCACCATTGCTGTTTTTACCCACTCCTGTAAATAAATACTCACCTGCACCAGAGCTGCCGCCTTTTGGGTCCTTTCTACAAACTCCTCACGTCTGCCACACTGGACGTGACAACTACACTCCAGCTGAAAACACTACGTCCAGATGAACAGAATTAACTTTCTTGTACACTGCAAAAACTTCACCACCAATTAAAGCATTTATGAATGTATGTATATATATCCTAACCCTAAATAAACTTGTGCACTCAATTCTTATTGAGTCACCAGCGTAGTATGCTGTACAATCATTCCACCCTGGAAAAAGAAAAGCTCAAAGAAATAATTAAAGCCCAAAATTACCATGACCATGAGAAACGTAAGTGCCCGAGCAGCCAGGCTCAGAAGCAGGCTGGAAAGTGCCATCCTGGAAAATGTCCCGGAGACGTCCGTGTTAAAGGTGTGTAACAAGTGTCCCTTGACAGTTCGCTGACTTCTGCCGTGTGATTGGCCCAGGAGCTTTAAAAGGTAGTGGGTGTGTGAGGGGAGGTCAGTGGTCTTCTGTGGGAAGTTCCAGACCTTTGGAGATTAATTATTAGATCTGCAGTCTGCAGATCTAATAATTTATTATGGTAGGTGCCGGTTTTTAATGCGTGCTGCTGGACTTATTAGTGTGAACACGAGTTTTAATGGAGGAATCAATCAAGCTCTAGATCGACTGCGCGCGGGGAAATCGATCAATATTGTAGGTATATTGAGTGTTTGTTTTATATCTGTGATTTTGAATCGTTTAATAAAACTGATCTTTTATTGGATAACATTTTAATCGATAGTCTTGATCGTGGTTGTTGTGCTGCCTCTGCTTTAAAAGTCAGGTTTCTGTGCAGGAGCTTAGCGCCCCCATGTGTACACTGTTGGTAATTGCATTAAAAGAGCAAGTTGGGTACATAAGAAATCCCTACACCGCAAACACAAATAACATCACACTGACAAACATTAAAGTTTCAGTTTTATTTTCATTTACATAAAACCTGTGCTTAAATTAGTTACAGACACTAAAGCTTCTGTGGTTCAATGGCTATGAAAAAGCAACTACATAATATAAACTAAAAAATATATATCAGCAGTGTATAAAAGTAACAAATGGCAATACCTTAGAGACCAGCGCCCCTCAGAAATGTTTCTATATACTGACTATTGTAATGGGTGGCTCTGAAGTGTAGTGGTTAACACATTTGCCTATCAAGCAAAAGATCTGGTCATTCGCACAGACACAAGACTCCTTTTGTTGTTGCATCAGAAAGGATTTCTTCCTCTTCTTTTTCCTGCTTCCTTTAGTAGTTTCCAGATCATCTGCCTCCACCTCATTCCATCCCTAGGATCCTCTTCTGTCACACCACCTCCACCAGTCATAGTCCCTACATTTTAAATTCCTACTCTCACCTCCACTCCTACCTTCTCTCTCTCTCTGCCTCCAAACATACCTTCCCCTTTTACTCTTCCTTTGTCTTCAGCCAACAGCAGCACAGTTTCTACAGACTCCCTGTTGGCCAACAAGTAGTTTTATATTCATTATTGTAATAAATAAAAAACACGACATAACTTCATATGAATATGCTATGTATTTAAATCACACCATTATTGTTTTCATTACAAGGTTTTCTTCTTCTTTTTTAAGTGACAGTTTTAGATATGAATAAAAGCCCAGTTTTACTCTATAGACTACTATGACCTCTTCTAATGTATTGGTGCTTTATGGCCATTTATTCTTTTTATTCCCTGTGAGCGAAAGAGCAAATTACTCCACTCTTAGGTCTGAGCATTCCAGCATCCAGGATGTCAAAGGTCTGTCCCGGGACGAGAGTGAAGTCAAACCTCTGGAGCAGTTTGGCCATCACCACTTTAGCCTCCATCTAAAAAACACAACAGCGCCCACAGAGATGAGTCAGTGTGTTTATAGGTGAGCGGGTCTTCATGTTGACTTACGCTGTCATCCTCACCTGAGCAAAGTTCTTTCCCAGACACGAGCGAGGACCGAGGGCAAAGGGGTAGTAGCAGTAATAAGGCCTTGATGAACAGATGAGAGACAGCCTCAGTTACTGTGAACCGTTTCACTCATTTAGTCTGAGATAATAAAGTGTGTGCAAACATGAAACATAATAAAGTCAGCATGGTGAAACAGTGTTTTTCTTACTTGGGAGCATCTGGGTGAAATCTGTCTGGATCAAATCTTAGTGGATCCTTGAAGAATCTCTCCAGTCTCCCGCTCACATAGGAGCTGAACTAAATATGAGAATAGGTTATTTATTCGTCTTGATTCCAGGTAACTGTCTTGTAGGGCAAGACACTTTACCCTACCGCCTACTGGTGTTGGCCAGAGGGGCCGATGGCGCGATATGGCAGCCTCGCTTCTGTCAGTCTGCCCCAGGGCAGCTGTGGCTACAACTGTAGCTGCCTCCACCAGTGTGTGAATGCGAGAGTGAATGAATAGTGGCATTGTAAAGCGCTTTGGGTGCCTTGAAAAGCGCTATATAAATCCAATCCATTATTATTTATAATTATATAAAACAGAAGTTTATTTTCTGCTTTGAAGCTAGAAACACATAAAAAAAAATATCTATGACTCACTACAGCAACAAATCCTCCAGGTATGTGGACACCATCAATGACCATGTCTTCAGCAATATCACGAGATGTGGCCGGAGTCACGGGATAAATTCTCAGAGTCTCTTTTAGCACCTGGGGGAAGATTACAACGTTTATGGTGCATCTTGTTTTATAAAAACAAGACTGAGAGCCTAAGTTTACTGTTGATGCAGTCTTTCATTGTTAGTTGACTAATTTTGAATCCATGGGTGAACATGAGATTACAAATCACACTAAAAACATTACCACAATTTTCAAATTGCCACATGTACCTGTGACAGGTAGACCAACTTGCCCAGGTCATCGTAGCTTATTTCACGTTTCATCCCAATAACATCGTCCACTTCTTTCTTCGCTCTGAGAAATGAGAAAACTCCATAAGAAACCAAAGTTCACTTGTTCTAATGGAAACTGTTATGTGCTATATTTTGACTTTTTACTTTTCCAGTATATCAGGATGTCTTCCGAGTTCCATGATGCAAAAAGCCAGCTGATTGGCTGTTGTTTCTTGGCCTGAAATAGCACAAATGTATCAAAATTGAATATTACCACCATGAAGCTCAATAAAATGTTACAACATACACTATATACAAAAGAAGCTGCTGTTTTTCAAGTTTCAAGTTTAGCATTTCCTCCATTGCTTAGCATTTTTGAAACCAGGGGTCACAATCAAAAGACAGCTCAGACGGTGAAGCCAAGAGCACTGCACACTCATGATAGCAGCAAGCCATTATTTAGATTCCTGTTGATGCAGAAATCTACAAATACCATGTACTTCAGCATAAAGACTCGAATCAACAAGGCACAAGAAACCTGTAACTCCTTGATGCTGCTCTGGACTACAAAAATCAATAACATCCACCAGCAACTCAGTTCAATTGTTGTGTCTACCCCCTCTCCAGAACCTTTTCTCTATTTTGAGCCGTTTTCCACTTTCCATCTTCCTGATTTATCTGATATTTCTGAGTTTATATGTAACTCAAAGCCTGCCACATGTCATCTTGACCCTATGCCTACAGAGCTTGTGAAATCTTGCCCCTCTTCCTTACTCCCACTCATCTCTACTATCATTCACTTTTCACTCACCACCGGTGTCGTCCCCTCCTTAGTCAAGATTGCTTCAGTCACTTCGTCAAAGGAGCTTGCAAAGAAGGGCGTCTGGACTTCTTTAAGTTACTTGAAGACGTTTCACCTCTCGTCCGAGAAGCTTCTTCAGTTCTAAGGTCAAATGGTGGAGAGTCCCAGATATAAACCTAGTGGGAGTGACCCCCCACAGAGGGACAAAAGGACCCCCTGATGATCCTCTAATCGCCTGAGACAAAGAGGATCATCAGGGGGTCCTTTTGTCCCTCTGTGGGGGGTCACTCCCACTAGGTTTATATCTGGGACTCTCCACCATTTGACCTTAGAACTGAAGAAGCTTCTCGGACGAGAGGTGAAACGTCTTCAAGTAACTTAAAGAAGTCCAGACGCCCTTCTTTGCAAGCTCCTTTGACTACGATGACCTGGATGACTGAGAACCTTCACAGACTTCAGTCACTCCCATGCTGAAAAAACCTTCTTTAGATCCTAACAACTTTAACAACCGCCGTACAATTTCTAATTTACCCTTCATCTATAAAATACTTGAAAAAGTAGTTGCAGTTCAACTTCATTCACACCTGGATAATAATAACATCTACGAGAGATTTCAGTCTGGTGTTCGTTCATGTCACAGTACAGAAACTGCTTTATTTAAAGTCACTAATGATCTTCGAGTCGGAGCTGACTCTGGTCTTCTCACCATTCTCGTCCTTTTGGATCTGAGCTCAGCCTTCGACACGATCTCTCATTCTGTCCTTCTAAGCAGACTTTCCTCTCTCGGCATCTCTGACCCACTCCAGTCAGTTCAGTCTGTAGTCCAGTCTCTGGTCCAGTCACTCATTCATCATCCTGTTCAGCTCCCTGACCTGGTTACAACCATAGCTCCTTGACCACTCCCAGTTTATTCAACTGAAAGCATTCCACTCTCGTCTATTCCCGGTCACTTCTGGTGTACCCCAAGGTTCAGTGTTTGGATTTAAACCAGTCTTTGATGAAGGGGGCTTCATATATGTGGACGAATATGCTGTGGCAGTTAAGCCTTGCAGTGTGCCAGAAGGAAGCACAACATCCAACTTATTTTGTAACATTTCACAGATCCATCCAACTACCCATCTACTTTGTTAACCGCTTATGCTCTTCAGTATCACAGTCTGCTGGAGACACACGAAATAACAGAGACTCACCTGCAATGAAGAATGTCACGAAATTGTCCAGCATAAATTCCTCATCTTCTTCAGTCATGATTTCCTCTGAAACAATAAGAAAATTGACATATAAATTAATATTTGGCTTCCTTCTCTTTTTTTCATTTATTACACGTCAGATGATACAATGTCTTCTGTGTTAATGTCTCTATCAGTCATCTGTTTATATTCGGCAAAGCTTCCAAAGTGTCCATTTTCAAGCGAATCACAGAGCCAGCCTTCCTGATCAGTTTATTTAGTTTGCTGGTGTCATCGGCATGATGTCGCTTCTTCAGCATCAGCACGCAGACCACAACAAAGAACACTCCACTCGCCACAACTAAAAACTCAGTGTATTTGTTTACTCTTGTGTGTACTATTCACAGCAATTTAAAATCAATGCTCAAGGCTTACTGAGTCTATTCAAATGTGAAATTTAGGGATTACAACCTTGGTTGGCAGTTTTGATGATTTGTGTCAGGATGTCCTTGGGGACCTCGTCACCGTTTTCAATGGCGGCCTTTCTCTCAGCGATCCACTGAGATCCAGTTTTGCGCAGCAGGCGGCACGCTTCCCTCACCTCATTAATGTATCCTCTGTTCTTTGGATTAAACTGGAATGGCAGATTGAAAAAGTTAACATTCCATGCAACAAGACTTGCAGTACATACTTTCTTCTTCTTTGGCTCTTGGAGGAGGCGGACGCCTCCCCCTCTCCCTCCCTTATCTTCTCTGCTGCTGCTTCTAGGTGTTTGTCTAGTCTCGTCTAACTCTAACCCTCAAAGAGTTTCTCGGTCTTGTTCTCTAAAACCTAAAGAATTATGGATTTGATCAACTGGTCCCGTAATGGAATTCACAACCTGCTAGGCTTGGGAGAGCCCGATTGTCCTGCAGAGACGTTTGCTGCCGGATACTCCATGGTCGGTTGCGTCGTGTGTCTGGCAACACTCGACGGAGGACATTGAACGACATCTACCAATTTGGAACCACGATAACGGAGTTCGGGCTGATTGGAGCTGGCTTGGAGCTGGCTTATCGAAGAACAAGAAGCGGCTACAGCTGTTCAAAATCCCATAAGGCTGGCCAACATGATAGACGATTGGCAGGGCTGGGAGTACTCAGACTGTGTTTTGAACGCAATATGGATAACATCTTGGAGAAGAACAATGGGAATTGAGATAATTGGTGACCAGTGATGGACATTAAACCAACTGTAAAAATTGGATGCCGTTGTTTGCACTAAACCCAAACATTCACCAGCTTCACTCATGTGGCTATCCCACCGGCGCCAGCTGAAGGCCTGCCAAGGTCGAAGCTGACTGGAACAACAAATTCTTCCCATGATAACAGGATTGTTGTCGAACTCTTTGTACCTCATTCAAGGCCACCTGGGTCAACTGGAGACTGTTGACTGATGCTTAACCGGGCGTGGTGACATTTTCTCTCAGTTGAACATGGGATACACACACACACACGCACAAAACATGTACGCTGATACTCACTATCACCCTCCCTCCCCCGAATCCAACGCCTCCTCCCATGCTTACCTCCCATCCGATGTGGACACCGGATCAGCTGGAGGTGCAATCGAAGATTGCAGTGGACCCAGATCAGCTGTACACACTGGAATACTCTCCCATGTTGCTTGTCTGTGTTTTATTGTGTTATGGTGTGTTGATATCTGTGCATTCCTGGATTATCCTTTTGTGTTACACATTTCGATGTTTTTTTTTCCTTGCTACCTAGCCTGACCTGTCTCCCCAATGTGATGTTTGTGTATTCTATGTACGGTCGGCAAGGTCTGTCATCTCAGTTGTGGGCAACTGCAACTGACAAATAAAGGCTATCTCATCTCTCATCTCGCTCATCAAAAAACACTAAAGTAATACCTCGAAAAAGTTGTCTCTAATGTAGTGAGCCATCCCTTTCAAACATGTCTCAATGGCTTTAGGGAACTGTGAAGTGTTCTTCAGCAGGTCCAAGTCCACCCCGAAAGCAACCTGAGATTTATCAAGGAAAAACACAAACATGAGGAAATATTATTTGGATAAAGACTGCTGTAAAAGCTGTAAAACTGACTGTAATATAAAACCTTAGTAATAACATCCAGGGTAACATAGTTGACAAGCTGGAGCATATTAGCTTCTGTTTTACTGTCAGCAACATCTGCAAGTTTATCCATCAGTTTCTCTGCCCTCTCATTGAAGGTTCCCATCAGACCTCTCAGATACCTGGAAGTAATGATAGCTTTAACCGGAGGAGCCAGAACCTGCCAACAAACTACCACAGAAATTCATTTGGAAAAAAATCAGTGGTTGAACAAACAAACTCTTTTGTCTTTTTGTGATAACTGTGAAACTCACAGGCTGCTGAATGCAGGGTCCATGATCCGGCGCTGTTTGTACCACTGCTCATGATCCCGTGCTGTTGCCAGGCCGTTGCCTAAGAGCCTTCAAAGAAGACAGCTGACAAAATACGTTATTTTATTCCTCTGAGTTTTAGTTACTGTTAGTTTTGCTTACTGTTGGCATTCAGGTTGCATCTAATCTAAATGTTCCTATCTGGTCCTCCTATAGTTTTAAGCTGTGCGTGCCATCTGCTGTCTTCTCTTATTATCCTGTGAGTATATATTATCTCTGTCTCCCTTTGTTCATTGCCACATTGCCCCTCTTCCCTCATGGTTGCGTATTACCTTATTCTGTGTTTCCCAGAAAATTCCTAGTGTTTGGATTCCTCGTTCCTGCCCAGTTATTGTTTGAGATTTTATGATTATTTTTGCTAGATTTGAGTTTATGTTCTGTCTCCTGAATCCACATCCTGCCTGCCATACAGCGAATACATGACAGAACGACGCGATCCTGATGGACTCACCGAGCTTTCTCAGACTGCCTCCACAGTGAGGGAAAAAGGCTACTTAAGTATGTGATAAAGTATTAGTACGTCATTGATTCCCATCTCTGCAGTACAGTCAGTGTTGGGGAGTAAAGGAATACATGTACCGCTGTTACGTATTTAAAACATAAAATGTGAGTAACTGTATTCGGTTACAGTTACTGTTTATAAGGGTGGTATTTAGAATACAGTTACTTTGTTGAAATAAAGGGATTACACGGCGGTCTTTTCCTGTTTCATATGTTCAGCTCTGCCCTCTCTATTTTTGGTAATTCCACACCGGTGGAAACAAACAAAACACGCATTAAGAGGCTCAAATGCCAAACAGAGAGCCTGACGAGCCCAGTTGTAAGTAAGCTATTAAGACTCGAATGTACACCGTGTTCGTGTTTTCCTCCAAAACAATAAGTTCCGTTGCAGCAGCCTTTCAACGCCTCTCTCTGTCTCTCGCTACCAAACTTGACCCAGACAACAAAGTAAAGCTAGTTTTTGGCTACGAGCCCGACACGAACCCGACGTATTAGCCAGAGGTCCTTTACTACGGTTCAGAGCCACAGACCTGTTTTATATACGCGCGGAATAGTTTTCTATATGAGATCGCTGCAAAAAGTGCAGCCTTACCTAATGTCCACCTACTGTTACTCATTTATATTAAGATTTAAACATCTAGTTGCTAATGGTATGGTGAGTAGCCTTCAGTAATAGTAATAAATCACACAGCAATAGGACATTCATTAGTTGTTAAAAGGCATGATAATATATTAAGTAATCCAAAGTATATTACTTATATATTAAGCAATTACAAAATACATTTTGGGGCATGTATTCTGTAATCTGTAGTGGAATACATTTCAAAAGTAACCTTCCCAACACTGAGTACAGTGGTGGTCTGTATTATACCTGTGAGTCTTAATCTTAGTCCAGGTGTTAAACAAATAAGAGTATTGCAAAGCTCACTCCACCTCTAAATATTGGTAAATGAATGCAAAGTATCACACTGGTATCTACTGATATCTGCCTTTGTTGATCAATTCCAGCCAGTAACTGAAGTTAAAACGATATCAGTAACAGCACAGCCTTTTAGAACTGGTGCATCGCTACAAAAAAGCGCCTGATAAGGCAGTCTTACCTTTGACCAAACAGGTTGGCAAGTCTCTTATAAACAAGTTTATCTTTGGGGTATTTTGTGGACATCAATATTTGCTGAAGCCAGGAGCAGAAAGACAGAAAAAATTTTTTTAGAGAAAGAAGATTTGATACGAATATTATCAGGAGTTATGCTTAGTGAAACCAAAATGTCAGTAGTTCACACTTTGAAGTTAAGGGCAGGATTTGTGCCAAGCACTTTCACACACTCAGCGGCGGTCCTAGCCTGTTTGGCGCCCTGGGCGAACGGATGATCTGATATCGTCGCGTTGTTGTTCCTGGAACAGCATAGTAAATGTTGTTCCAGGAACAACATTGCAAGTGACCAATCACATTCTTGTGACGTTATTCTTTGGCGCGCCAAGCCATTCGTGCATTTATGAAATTCCAATGTTCCAAGGACAATATCAATTCTGCTTAGCGTTTATTAAAGGGTTAGGGTCAGGGTCCGTTGATCGGCGGACAGAGGCGGTTTCTCGCAGCTTAAGTTTTTTGTTTTACGGCGGTTTTTCCCGAAGTCGCAAAAGTATGACGTCACAACATTCTGATTGGTCACTTGCAATGTTGATCCTGGAACAACACCAGATCGTGCCTGGGCGAACACTCCCTCTGGCGCCCCCTCTGGCGGAATTATAAAGTGGAATTGTAAAGCGCTTTGAGGGTCTCAAAAAGCGCTATATGAAAGCAATCCATTATTATTTAAACCAACTGTTAACTGTATATTTCTGTACATTTAAGTATTATTATTATTCATATTGCCGCATTCATTGGCCTTTTTTACAATTAATTTTATTGTTTAATCACATTAAAATGTTCCTAATTTAATGTTTAACAGCACTTGAAAAAGGCAAAATCCCATGTAAAATTAGGGCAACAAACTGTATTGTCATTACTGAAAATAACCGTATTTTCATGAGAAAGTTATTTTCTGTTATTTTGTGGTATTATTTTGGCGCCCCAGCAAATGGGCGACAGAAAACCGATCGGTGCCTATGCCATTCCCAATACGCGCTGGCATGATGTCGGGGCAGCATGAATACGAGCAATTTGTTTTTATTTTTTGCCGATGCCCGTGATGCCGCCCCCCACTGCGATGCCGCCTCGGACCCATGTCGCCCGTATTAAAAACCGCTACTGCACACACTCATGTTGTTGTCACAGTTTACCTTTGTTGCCTCGGGACAGGACACACACACTACAGCGTAATGCAGAGCATATATCTTGTAGACAGGCCCATACTCATCCGCCCTGTAAAAGACATACTACCGCATAAATGATACGTTTTATCATTATTTATTAATCACTCCTACACACAACCATCGTTTACGTTCAAATTACCACTCCAGAAGTTTCTGGTGCATATTTCCGCCATTTTTCATTATCCTCAAAAGCGATGCTGAGTGTCCGAAGAGAAAACTGGGGAAGAAATCACGTGGTCAGCGTCGAGCAGTGTCAGCAAAAGTGCCGAGAACTTTACCTACCTGTCCGTCGGTGGGCCGGGTATGTGGTCATATTTCATATGAATGTGTTTAACATACAAGCAGTATCCGAGAAACACAACGACGAGCAGAAAGAAGAGAAAAGTTAGCGTCTGAGCAGCCAAAGACAGAAGTAAGCTGAAAACTGCCATCCTGAGAAATATCCCGTAGACGTCTGCGTCAAAGATGGTTATCCTTTCTATAACACCGCGAAGGATCCCTGGTTCAAGACCGAGGGGAGACACAAACAAGCCTCAGTGAGGTCACAAGCTGGTTTACCCCAGTGTCGTCGTTCTAAACTCGCATTAACGGGAGATCCAGCCGCCGTGGCTGTGGCGACCCTTTGGGAGGAAAAACAAGGGAGCAGCTCCAAATACCGACCGCACACAGCCAGATCTAATTAGGCGGAAGTTCGACATAGCGTACTTCAGAGAAGAGAGCCCACGGAGACGCACTGAATGTCACAGCTTTCGTGCTGTTATTTTGCGAACATTGTGAACAAGTGCAAAAACCCTCTACAGTTTAAAAAGGCTACTGCTGGGATTTATTAAACAGGCGCAGTTTCGATTTTGCGACATAAAGGAGTGGGCCTTTTTTTCGGCTTTGTATTTCATATGTGTTTGCAGAAGTTGTGCTTTCAGAGCGCAATATTTTGGGAAGAGAAAGGCGTCTAATTGAAGCTGAATTTCAGGCCAATAGAGGGCTTTGAGCTGGCGCACACACTTGGTAAATCTGCCTCTAAGCATCATCTTTAGTAAATAAAATGCATTCCACCTTAAAAGCTGTCGGCACCTGCAGGTTTATTAATTACTTAAGGTTAAGAGATCAGAGTCCCGGAACACTCTGCTTTGTTCATATTAACATTATATTCAAGTCTTCTTCATCAAGAACACAAGAAACAAGATAAAAGCAAATAAAATGCATTCATTTCATCTTATAGTGCGAGGCGTTTATTTATCTCAGCAGATGAAAATGTCTGACATCTTCACTTTTCGTTTGACAGCCAATAAACTCATCATCCACCAGTCTTTCATCACGACTTCTGAACCTCTCCCGCTGTGAAATTTCGTACCTTACGCCGTTTATGCAAACTTTCTGGATTTGTTTCAAATTAAAAGCGCTCACCAGACAGTAATAGAGCTTTTCTTAACTGGGCTCTTATTCTGAAACATTAGTAGGAACCTCTTGTGAAAAACTAAACCGTTAAGAAAAATGGCACATAGGATGTGTGCCTCTGAGATTTCACTCTCTAATAACAGTTTGTTAATTCATGTTATTATTGTATACAGTTTGTCTGAGGTAGAGAAAGGGGGCAACTTCTCAAAACAGACATTGTATTTCAGTTTTATTTCATTTACACAAAAGTCATGTTTAAATGAGTGCTACAGGCAGTGGCTATGAAAAAGCAACTGCAATACATTTTGCAGTTCTCTCCATATTTTGCTTACAAGGAGCCAGATTTTCCTTTAATTATTTAAAGTGGTATTAATCATTCAAGCATACAATAGGCACCTATAACTCAAGTGATGAATCAGTGATGTGTCTGCACATAACAGACAGCTTTGAAAGTGTCTTTTATATTTAGGAAATTTGTTACTAACAGAAAAGAAGTTCCTATGTTCTAAGCAAAATAAAAGAAATTAGCTTTGCACAGTATGTGTCTGTGTATATTTATATGTGTGTGTATATGTGTGTACATACATACAGTAGCAAATGGTATTGATCCTAGCTTCCTCAAAAATGTTTCCATAATAATAATAGATTATTCCAGTGAAGACATAAAAATATTTATAAGCATTTCATATGAATATATTGCGTGTATTACGATCATACATGAGACTATTTTCATTACAAGGATTTCTTTAAAAAATCAGTTTTCAGACAAGAGTAAAAACTCTGCCCCACCATATAGATACCTATGACCTGTTCCAATGTGAAGTCCGTTAAGATCATTTATTTTTGTAATCCCTGTGACCCAAAGTGCACAACACTCCACTCTTTGGTCTGAGTGTGCCAGCATCCAGGATGTCAAAGGTCTGTTCTGGGACGAGAGTGAAGTCAAACCTCTGGAGCAGTTTGGCCATCACCACTTTAGCCTCCATCTAAAAAACACAACAGCGCCCACAGAGATGAGTCAGTGTGTTTATAGGTGAGTGGGTCTTCACATTATGTTGTCATCCTCACCTGAGCAAAGTTCTGTCCCAGGCACGCACGAGGACCGAGGGAAAAAGGGTAGTAGCAGTAATAAGGCCTTGTTGAACAGACAAGAGACAGCCTCAGTTACTTTGAACAATTTAACTCATTTTATCTGAGATAATAATGGGTGTACAAACATTATTATGTAAAACATGTCAGCATGGTGAAACAGTGTGTTCTTTACTTGGGAGCATCTGGGTGAAATCTGTCTGGATCAAATTTCAGTGGATCCTCGAAGAATTTGTCCAGTCTCCCACTCACATAGGAGCTGAACTAAACATTAGAAAATATTGTATTTACTTATCTTGATGTTTATACAGAAGTGTATTTCCTGCTTTGCTAGAAACACATCAAAAAATACATCCATCTTCAAACCAGGAGATATTAAAACATATTTAAAATCTTCACAACTTACAAGAGCAACAAATCCTCCAGGTATGTGGATCCCATCAATCACCATGTCTTCAGCAATATGACGAGATGTGCCCGGAGCTGTGGGGTACATTCTCAGAGTCTCTTTTAACACCTGGGAGAAGATGTATACAATTCATACGGCACATCTTGTGTGTGTGTGTGTATGTATATATATATATATATATATATATATATATATATATATATAACACCGTTCTACTCAACAGAGCAGTGAAAATGCTTAAAACCACAAATCTCATTAATGCAGAAGACCAAGGATACTTTAAGATACAGAAAAATAGTACCACAATTTTCAAATTGCCACATGTACCTGTGACAGGTAGACCAACTTGCCCAGGTCATCGTAGCTTATTTCATGTTTCATCCCAATAACATCGTCCACTTCTTTCTTCGCTCTGAGAAATGAGAAAACTCCATAAGAAACCAAAGTCTATTTGTTATAGTGGAAACTGTCGCGCAATATATTTTGACTTTTTACTTCTCCAGTATATCTGGATGTCTTCCAAGTTCCATGATTGCAAAAGCCAGCTGATTGGCTGTTGTTTCTTGGCCTGGAATAGCATAAATTACACACGACATTAGGCAGTACAAAAGATGTATGCAGCTATTGTAACATCATTCACTGGTCTGATTGCAAAGCTGCAAGATGAGAGTTTCCACCATCTTGATTCCAAAAAGAAAAGGATGTGATGATGAGGGGGTCAGCCCACACACCTGACATTTGACTGACAAACCAATGAATGTGTTGTTTAATACTACAGATCGGCCCCAGCCACCTTCTCCTCAAAGACAGTATGGCTAGCATACTGGTTTTTGATTCAGTGTTGACCCAGGATGAGTGCCTGAGCCTATAAACTCTGCAGGTTTTACAAAATCACATTAAAAACAGCACCACTGAAAGCCATTTATGGAAAAAGTCATTTTTCCATAGACTTCTATAGGAACAGGAGCAACCGCATATATCGCCATTTCGTGGGCTTCAGAAAGAAAGCAGGTTTAATTCACTTCCATTTTAAAGTTCACTTTTAAGACACTGTAAATGACCACGGCAGACCCGGGTGCAAGTTCATGCTTTGCAGCATACTTTATTGACTCACACGGTTGCTGTTCACAATGCTCACAGAGCTGCAGCTCTCCCGCTGCCTGCTCAACATTATCGCAACCACAAATACAGCACCCATTACAATGCGTGATTGCACGCCCCGCCACAGACACAAAAGCTATTTCCATCTTTGATATACAGTCTATAACAATACATCCATCATCTGGATGGTCAGTAGTCCATGAAAATGAATGTATGTTGTGAATACCTGCAATAGATAACATTTTATAAAGATGAAACCATTTGGCATTAAGTTAAAAATTGATGCTTAAAGTGGTGACTGCATTGTGCGCCTTTTAACACAGCAAACCTTTTGGTGTTCCACAAAGATAGAGCAAGCCCAAATTATTGTGTAATATTTCATACATCAGTCCATTTTCTTAATTGTTTTCTTAACCTATCCCAGCTGTCACTGAGAAAAAGGCACTATCCTCCCTGATCAGATCGCCAGTCAATCACAGGGCACTACTTCTAACATCAAAGATGAAATAACAGAGACTCACCAGCAATGAAGAATGTCACAAAATTATCCAGCATAAACTCCTCATCTTCTTCAGTCATGCTGTCCTCTGAAATGATAAAAAACTACCTATAAATGATTTGACATCTACCATGTTAAGATGTGCTCTCATCATGAACAGGTACTAACACAAACCTCCAAGGAGAGTTCATATGGGAGACACTGAACTTGTGCTGTCCTATCATTTTTTTTCAGTGTGTTTATTTACTCGTTTTTATGCTCTTCACACAGATTCAACAAGATTCTATATTATTGCTCTTATCTAGTCTAGTCTAATGTGAAATTTGGGGACTCCAACCTTGGCTTGCAGTTTTGATGATTTGTGTCAGGATGTCTTTGGGGACCTCGTCACCGTTTTGCATGGCGGTCTTTCTCTCACTGATCCACTTGGCTCCAGTTGTACGGAGCAGGCGGCACGCTTCCCTCACCTCATTAATGTATCCTCTGTTCTTTGGATTGAACTGGAATGGAAAACTGACAGGTTTAGGATGGCATTCAGATAACAATGTTGTTGGCAGAACTACTGCATAACAACAAACGCTGAAGTAATACCTGAAAAAATCTGTCTCTAAGGTAGTAAACCATTCCTTTCAGACATGTCTCAATGGCTTTAGGGAAAGGTGAACTATTCTTCAAGAGGTCCAAGTCCACCCCAAAGGCAACCTGAAATTTATCAAGAAAAAAGTATACACAAATATGCACACACACACTCACCCTTTGGAAGGGTAAAAATGACTGCAATATAATACCTTAGTAATAACATCCAGGGTGACACAGTTGACAAGATGGAGCATATTAGCTTCTTTTTTACTGTCAGCAACATCTGCAAGTTTATCCATCAGTTTCTCTGCCCTCTCATTGAAGGTTCCAGTTAGACCTCTCAGATACCTGGAAGTAATGATAGCTTTAGACGGAGAAGCAGCACATCCAAGACATCCCAACAAACTATCACAGAAATGAATTAACGGATACTGTTGCACAGAAAAAAGAAAAACCTTCCTACTATCTGCTACTATCTCCCTACTGTTTCTACTAGTTCTCTAGGTGAAATTGCCTTGTTGATGCCAGAGATGGGATGAGAACGTCCAGACTGCTACAAACTGAGTAACTACTCATTACAAATCCTCTTAAACTGGTTTCTTCCACCTCTTTCCATCTCTGTAATATTCTTTGTCAATATTTTTGATATTTAAAATTGAGCGATTTTTGATAAATTTGTGCTATTTGTCAAATTTGTAAATTCTGTAACATGTTGTATTATTTAATTAGTGTAGTCTGTTACTGTAACTGTCTTGGAGCAACTGTAATCCAAATAGTTTCCTTAGGGATTAATAAAGTATTCAGAGTCTGATTCTTAACCGTGCTAATGAGTTCACTGTGTTCAAATGGGCTCCACAGTCAGCTCTCTAATTCCAGCTGAGGTCCTTTAGGATGTGGCAGATTTGAATGATGGATGCACAGCCAACAAATGTGCAGCAACTGCATGATGCCATATGGACCAAAATACCAAAAATCAACCAAAACGTATTTCCAGCACTGGTTGAATGTATGCCATGAAGAAATGAGGCAGTTCTTAAGGCAAAAGTGGTTTCAGCCTGGTAAAGGCAAGGTATACCTTATAAAGCAACAAATGCATAACTCACGTGCTGCTGAACGCAGGGTCCATGATCCGGCGCTGTTTGTACCACTTCTCATGATCCCGTGCTGTTACCAGGCCATTGCCTAAGAACCTTCAAAGAAGGAAGTTGAGAAAACATTCTCACAAAACCCAATTCCTAATTGCTGTTAAAATAAAAGCATTTTTTCAAAATGTCTTCAAATGGAATAATCATAAAAATATATAACATTTCTCATTTTTTAAAGTATATTATAGTGCACACCAGATCTGCGCTGGCTAAATCAGCAGAGGTAGTGTATTGAAGAGCTGGATGACTTTAAAACAGTTTGGTTATTTATTCATGAAAAGACATCATTTTATCGTGAGAATTTAATTTTGTTCCACTGATAAAGCAAAATGTAAATAAACAAGTCTGATGCTAATGTAGAGAAGCAACCTAAGTAGCCTGATAAGGCAGTCTTACCTTTGACCAAATAGGCTGAAGAGTTTTTTGCAAAGAAATTTATCTTTGGGGTACTTTGGGGACATCAGGATTTCCTGAATCCACAAACATAAAGTAGAATCAGAATCAGAAGACTTTATTTATCCCCAAGGGGCAATTAACAAACAATGTTCAGCATATGTTGAAGATAAGAACAATAAGAACAGGAAATAGGAGTGAAATAATAAATACACAGAATATACAGTATATACAGTTTTAAAATTAAAGTGACTGAAGGTGAATAAATAACTCTAAGTGACTAAAAGTGAATAAAGTGTCAGTAGTGTAGGAAGAGTGTAGTTTATGGGTGTGGGAAATGAAATGAAACATTGCAAGAAATTGGATTTATGCAAATATTATCGAGAGTTAGGCTTAATGTAGTTATTTTTTATTATTTGGCAATTTAACAATTGCAGGATTTCTGCCCAGCACTTTCACACTGTTTCACCTTTGTTGCCTCTGGACTGGACACGCACACTACAACGTAATGAAGACCATTTGTCCTGTAGACAGGCCCATACTTCTCGGCCCTGTAAAGGACATGCTGACCTTTAAATATTATTAATCACAACTTTTTAAAAACCGCACAAAAACATCGTTTACGCTCCACTTACCACTCCAGATATTTGTCGTGTACAACTCCGCCATTTTTCATTATCCTCAAAAACGACGGTGAGTGTCCCAGAAGAAAACTGAGGACAAAAACAGCTGGTCATTCTCTGGTAATGCCAGTACAGGGGTTTCGACGACGGCTTCACCTACCTGTCCCTCGGTGGGCCGGGTATGTGGTCATATTTCATATGAATGTGTCTAACATACAAGCAGTATGCAAGAAATGCAACGATAAGCAGAAAGAAGAAAAATGTAAGTGATGGAGTTGCTAAAGTCAGAAATACGCTGAAAACTGCCATCCTGAAAAAATGTCTGATATATGTCCGGGTTAAAAATTGCTGCTCTTTCAGTTAGGCAGCCCCAGCCTGAAAGAAGACGGACTTGTTTGGACGATCTGATTTCCTCGTGTCAGCATTTTTGTTCCCACATCATCATAATTAATGTTGTTCCAGGTTCAACATTGCAAGTGACCAATCACCTTCTTGTGACGTCATTCCTTTGCGACTTCGAAATACCCGCCTTCGATTATTTCGAAATACAAGTGAAGAAGCGAAAAACCGCCGCCTGTCCGCCGAATTTGAAGTCAATTTAGGATACTTTCCTTTAATAAACGGTAAGCATTATACATATGTTCCTCACTTGGCTTGCTGTTTGTTTGCTAGCGATAGGCTACTTGACAACAGCATTAGCTAACCAGTGTTCTCTAGACCAGCGTTCCCCAACTTTTTGGGTGTTTCGTGACCCGGGGGTTGGGTCAGGCAAAATTGCAGTAGCTTCCCTGATCATTTTACAAACATAAGTGAAGAGAATCTGGACTAAAAGGCCTAGACTTATGGTTGTGTGCTGAATCTATGACTCAAACTATCACCTGGAAACATAATTAACTGGTCCATAGCTGTGAAACTGGACATGAGTTCTTGATTCTATGGAGATTAACAGTAATCCAGAAATTTACAAATTTGTCCTGGTACATCGCGTAAATGTTGTCCCTGGGACATCGCGTAAATGTTGTCCCTGGGACATCGCGTAAATGTTGTCCCTGGGACATCGTGTAAATGTTGTCCCTGGGACATCGTGTAATTGTTGTCCCTGGGACATCGTGTAATTGTTGTCCCTGGGACATCGTGTAAATGTTGTCCCTGGGACATCGTGTAATTGTTGTCCCTGGGACATCGTGTAATTGTTGTCCCTGGGACATCGTGTAAATGTTGACCCAGGGACATCGTGTAGATGTTGTCCCTGGGACATCGTGTAAATGTTGTCCCTGGGACATCGTGTGATAGCTTGTAAATAATGGAATGAAAATTATTGATTGTTATTAACTTGTGAAAAAGAAGTGTAACAAATCCACATGTTATGTTCTTACACCCTTACAGAAACTGTGACTCCTTCACAATGTCAGGTAAATGTCAACTCATGTTGAATAATCAACCAATCAAGCCTTTTATTATCACATGCAATGTTACACGTACAACTGCAATGAAAATTTCACCCCCTTCTGACCATACATATATTGCTTAAACATCACATTGGGAAGACAGGTCGGAAACAGTTAGGAAGGTCAGAAAACAATTTAATTAATAGATGAGGGGAGAGGAGGAGAAAAAAGAACTACAACCAGACAAAGCTCCTAGAAGACTGAAATGGATGATGGTTGCAGCATGCAAAAAGAAAACGATATCTGTTAACTACAGCATATGCTTTCTCACAGATTACCTTGTGGGAGTAGCTGGACCAAACTCTATTGGTATTTCAAGTTTGAAATCCCTGTTTGACCAGACTAACATTTCAGATGAGGTACCTCTTGACATAAAAATCCTTTTATGTTGTCATAAAACTAATGTTAAATTCTGCTTTAAATACACTTTATTGTACAATTTACTTAATGAATCGTATTCCTTAGTTCTGTTTTTATTTATATGTATTTATTTATTTGTTTTATAAGGTAATAGATGGCCTAATCTATTTGCAGTGTGAGGTATGTTGAAAAGCTTGTTTGATCATAATGACATAGCATGTTTACGTTTTTTGTAATGTATTTGAAAACATGTATTTATGTTATTTTTATAGAATTTCCCTCACATTTATCCAATACCAAGCCAAATCACTGGAAAAATTTTGGATGGGTCCACAAGAGCACAAAAGTGCATACTTTTTGAAGGTATGACTTGGACTGTGGTAACTATGTTCTTATCACAAAGGGTTTATAAGTTGCCACTATAAACAAACAGCATTTTCCAAAATTGAAGCCTTGTCTGAAGAACCTGAAAAATACGTTTCTGAAACCTTTTCTGTGTAAAGACTTGTTCAAAAGCAATGCACACAGATTAAAACATTTCTGTCTTGGCCAACTGATAAAGAACACCAAAAATTGAGTGGTGCGTGTTGAGTCTGTGGTCTTGATTTGTTTTGTACACACTATAGAAATTAATGTAAACCAAAAATGACACTTTCTATATGTTTGTGTATCTGCAGAATTAATTACAAGTCTCACCTGACAAGCTTTTGCAGTTTTGCAGTGTCATTCTTGACAGAAAAACATACTTGTCACATTCTTTTTATTTCCAGAAAAACATCTTTCAGATGTATGAGAAATTGATTGGAGCCTGTCTGGAAAACGGCAGCCACTGGACCTTGTTTGTAAGTTGCACAGATTTTGCACTCTCTCTAGTGCATGATACTTTTCAGTGTCCCTCATTAGGAAAGCTCAAGGCCCAAGCCTACCATATCCATCTTTTTACAAAACAGTTTTGTGATATACCCAAGAGGACCATAGTCTATATGAATTCATTTGGCGAGTCGGAGGTCAGAAAAAGTGCGGTGTTGAAAAACTGGAGGTAATTAATTAACATATTTAACATAACATATTTAATTTAATTGAAATCATTACCGAACGTGGTTATTGATTTCTCTATATGCTTTTTATTTGTAATAACTGCGATCTCTCAGCTCATTTGCTTCAGCAAGAGGCTGCGCTGGAGAGTGGACCTTGTCACATGTGAGCCACCCACATCAACAGGATGGGAACTCATGTGGAGTGCATGTCATAATGGTACTGAAAACTATAGCTTTAACCTATATAAGTAATGTTTACATTTTTGCCTATTCAGTTTTTAAAGCCTTAGAGGCAGGATGGTAAAATCTCAATTTTTTTTTGTAGATTGAACCATTTCAGCAGTAATGCTTCGCTTTGGTTGCTCTGTTTTTGTTTTTTTTTCTCGGGGGGGGGGGGGTTAAAAACAAACAAACATTTCTTTGTTAATCTAATTCTTTTTGTTCTTTCTTTTTTTTTTCTTCTTCTTCGTCAATTATTAGTTTGCCCAATCTCTCATTGATGGTAAAACACAAGTGGAGGAGTACAACACTGAAATCACAAAGCTCAGGTCCCGACTTTGCCACTACTTATTTTCCTCAATAGGTAAAGATAAAATTAGCTGCCTTCTTTTTCTCTAACATTGGAAAATGTAACTTGTACTTAAACAAATTATATTTTGCAGATCGAACTAGGAAGTGCAGTCAGTGCTGGTGTGTGATTGCAGCCAAAGACTGGGTACACTATGACATGTCCTTAGCCATATAGATTGTTTATTTAATGGACTTTGTTCATTTGCTTTTTGTTTGTTTATTTCTTCTTCTTCTTCTTTTTTTTTTTAATTCACAGGTGCAGTGCCAGAAATGTGGTGCATATAAGCACATGCGTTGTTCAAAGTCTGTTTGTGGCATCTGTATCTTCTGTGAGAGTAAGTCACAATATAACTAAACAATGTCCAAAAATGTTTAAAGTGAAAAAAATTTCATAATTTTGCCTTTGCACACCCGGACTGTGTAATTAAAGTGGACGTTTCAAGATCCAGTTTTTACACAAAACTATTTTAGACATAACTGTGTCGTATTGTGGGGATTTCTCTTCACAATTAAATTGATATAGTGCTGTTTATATCATTCTTCTTTATGTAACAGCACAGTGCAGCACAGCAGAGGGAAAGGAGTTGTGCAGCATAGTGGGTGGCTATACAGGAGGAGCAATAGAAGTAGCCAGTGAAGAATGTCATCAGGGAAAGCATCAGGCAGCGAATGACAAAGGAAAAGTTCCTAAGGGAGAGAACATCTGCAGCAAATTGACAAGTAACAGTGAGATAGGAAGACTGACAGTCAGAGATGAAGGTACACAGACTGAAAGAGATGAAGGTACACAGACTGAAGACAACGAAAAAGAAGCAGAAGTATACGGCACAAGTCTGAGTACAGATAATGCTGCTGCTGATGATGTTGACAGGATCGATGCAGATACAGAATTCCAAACTGATTCAGAAGGAACTAGTACAGTTTACAGAGTGCATGGTCGCTTATCTGTACCAAGCTCAAAAAAGAAAACCTACACAATAACAGAAGACGAGATCAAGCGCAGAATCAACGCAGAGAACATGTCAGTTCATGTTTTCAGAGGTTTGATTGGGGTAGGTATACATTTCGTGATTTTGATGTCACCTGAAATAAATCCGGGTTACTCGTATCAATGAAGTGACAATGTGGCTGGAAATTGTGCATTTGCTGCAACATATACACAATTACACCATGTAAACAAAAGCATTTAACTTTGTGCGCGTGTGTGTGTCTCTCTCTGCTCTTTTGGTGTTTGCACTTTTTCTTTTTTAGGGCCGTAAAGCCAAACTGCCCGCAATGATTCTTGACAGGCCTAAGAAGGCCAAAACTAAAGTAAGTGTTTAGTGTTCTGAGTGAAGAGGAGGCTGGGGAGCTAGCCCTCGGGTTTGCCGGAAGATTGGCCTGCGATGTCACAACAGACATGGTCTGTAAAGGCATCGACCATTCAAGTGCTGATATGACAAAGTAAGTTAGTAAAACAATATGAAAGTTGTATCTTTTTTGGTATTATTTGTCATTTCCCCGTATTTGGGTTATTGGTGTAACATTGTTAATCTTACTTTCTAATAACAGACAGACTCTTCTCAAAATCCAACACAATCTTAAACATGAGCTGACTGATTCCTCAACCTTCAGTTTGCTGACACACACCTTTGGCCCCGCTGCACTGGATTCTGTCATTTCATTCCTGTGTGAAAAACTTGATCTTGTCTCTTAAATAATGAAACCTTTTGTGACTTTTGTTTGTGCTGTAAATCAGAATCTTGAAAATTGTTCATTGTTGTTCTAAGTTTGTGTTAACTATTTGGCAAAAATGATTGGTTCCTAATCCAAACAGCATAATGACTGTTCTAACACATATCTTAAAAATGCTACAAAGAAAGAAAATTATCACATATGTTTCAATATGAATGTAATTGTGTCACACTCGGTTTGTAGTAGCTTTCCTGTTTTATTTTGAGTTTTGGTATGTTTACACTGTTATTTTTATTTCCCGTGTGTTCGTCTTCCCTTATTAGTTTTACTGTATTTAATTAGTCTGATTTAATAACTTATAATTATTTACTTTCCAGTGTGTATATATGCTCCTCGTTTGGATTATTGTTTGTTTGAGTTCTGCCTGTCTTTTCTATTAAAGATTTGGACTATTAGTGGACCTCGTAGGTTTTTATTCTGTTCAATTGGTAATTGACTGGGTTTAATTTAGTGGCCTGGAAAACAGGCCGGAGGGGTCTGGTCATTTTAACCCCCTAAGACCCGAAATCTTCCATGGCATGCATTTTTAATTTCTCTTTGATATTTGGGCCGATTGGAACCCGATGAATGTAAAAAGAAAGAATTACCAGGTTTTGTTTTTTTTACCTAATTTTTGTTTCTGAGAAAAATGAGAGCCACATATGAGGACATTAATTTGAAATTTCGATAGAACAGTTGCAGTATAATGTCCTCAACTGTATATCAGGCACTTGTTGATCAAGATTTAGTATTTTGGTCTAAATAACCCAAAATGTGATGTCCACATGTGTGGACGCCAGGCTGGAGTAAAGTGTTAGAGCTATTTATACCTACGTAAACTTTTATACACTGGTTTTTACCTGTCTTGTTTCAGAAAGGTTTAAAAGGGTAATGTCCACAGTTTATTTGTTTATTTATTTGTTTGAATTCAACATATTTTATTAAAGTAATTGAGCTTGAACACAGAAAAAACTGAATCAAATAATCATAAAATCAAATCACTTGCACTATACTGAAGTCTAATCTACTCTGAGCTAATGCCGGTTTCCAACACTAATGATCGGGTGAAGGAGAGAGATGAGGGTGTGCACGGCCACTGGTGCTCTTATCCCTGTTCTTTGTGATACAATCCAACAGGAAAGCAGTCAAACCCTTGGACATTAGCCAAGTTAACGTTCACAAATATATACACACAGAGGAACTCTGAGCCCCAATGTCAGCATTAGCACAAACATGCCACTTCATACCAAATCTCAGTGTGAGGTCAGGTGTTAGTCTCATTCCATTATTCTGGCTATATTTTCTTACTCATTACTATTAAACTTATACTTAAGACTAACTATTAACAAAATCACACCCCAATAACTCTGTTATTACACTTTGTATTTAATCATAAAAAGGCTGGATGTTGAAACCTTTTACTTCTATTTTGTATGAGCCAGGATTCTCAACAGCTGATAGTGACAGGTATCGTTTTATGGAGCAAAAAACTTAAGAGCGCATATTTTATAAATAATACCAACAATTACAAATGCAGACCTTTAATAGTAATAAGTAATCCTTTATTTATAATGCATAGCAATATAAAAATAGTAACATGTGAAAATATTACAATGGGCACAGATGAATTTGTATCAAAAACAGCAACCAAGCCAAAGTAATGAATAACACACATAAATAACAACTGCTTGAGAGACCAAACAATTTCTTTTCATCTGTTCCTTGGCAGAAAGTTAAGACAGCTATTCAGCTTTAGGTTTCAATAAACAGAAGTAATGGATGCAGTCCCTTTGAAATGTCACACAAAAGTCTACTTGTGCATATACTTAGCTTTAACTCTTCTCTTTTTTGTTTTGTATTCCAAAAGGTTTTCATTTTCTCCAGAGGATGTCTCTCTTTCAGTGGTTATCGACTGTTCACATTCATTTTCACAGACTGTTGGAATGTCGATGCTGGCCGAACGTTTCTTGCTAGAATACAATGGCCTAATTTTGCGTGCATTATCTGTCGTCTTTATTTCGTACTGGCATATACTTTTGCCTACTTGTTTTGTTTTTAAGACATTTGTATGCAGTTCATCTATCATTGCAGTAATACCCTCTGGAATGAATGCCCACTGTTTAACTGTGTCTAAAACAGCATTTAGTTTTCCAACCGCATCTTCTGTGCATTTTTTGTCTGTGCTTTCAACTACAGGAGTGTCATTCAAAGTTGATAGAGGACTTTTCAGAGAGTTTTTCATTTGTTTAAAATGGCTACAAGCCACCTTCAGGCAAGCACATGTGTTATAGTGAGAGAACGTACAACAAGTGCACTGAAGTGTTTCAGCCGATGCAAAAAAACACAGATTTCCAAACAAACTTGGCATTTTTATCACTTTCAAGTCCTCACAGTGTACAAAGTAATGCCTTTCTTTCACTGCAATTCTTGCCAAGGTCTGTTTCCATGTTTGGATAGATGTCATTGTCAGCCTCTGCTAATTTTGCAAGTAACACTAGATGCTTGCAAAGAAGTCCTCGTAAGCCATATGTACAGTTGCAGTAGGACTCAACAGGGCAGACATCATACACCATGTCTTCTCTTGACTCAGATGGGACTTGATATGCATTAACTCCATGGCTGTTCTTGACTGTAATTTTAAGAGCCCAACCACTTTCCATCAGTCTTGAAGCAGAGTCTGAAACTTGAGACAAGGTGTCAGCAAACCTGTTTTTCATGCGGCCCACATCTTGCAGGGTTTTTATGACTGAGAAGTAGTCGTCGGCCTTCCCTAGGAGCACTTCAATCAGATCATCCAGACGCCTATTCTTGTAGCCAGATAAAAACTGGTATTTCAGGCGGTGGAAAAATCTGAAAAACAGTTATTTGAAATGATTAGTAACTGTAATTGAAGGAATTTAAAGTTTTAATCAAGACTGTATTATTTTTTAAAAAATTGGAATACCTATTGCACACGTCTTTTATAAAGGAATGCTCTGTGCCGGTTTAGCTGATTTAGGCAAATCCACCTACTCACGCTGCTAGAATTTAAAGGATTTGCCTAAAACCTGTTCTGGCAATGACATGACGAACCTACTCAGTTTAGCCTCTTGGATTAAAGCATAATATCTTTTTTTCAGCAATACAATTGAATGAGGTCAAAATAATAAATCATACCTTTCAATCACATTGTTTGTTTCAGAACGAGCGTGACTGAAGCGACGGCCGTAGTCACACCACATGTGGCCAATGCCTTCCCAGTGCTTCTGAAAATACTGGCACACCAAAGGGTATTGCTTAAATGTCTGGCAGAACTCTGCTGATGTGGCTTTAAAGTCGTCCTCCTAAGAGAATTGGATGCAACAGAATATATTTCAATCCATTTAACAGACCTATTGAAATCTTTAATATTATGTATTGAAGCCCTTTTCCTTTTATTGAATAACATTAAGAATTTTAAGTTATTAATAATATGTTGTGTTTTTGTATTAAGAAGCAATTATTTCTTCCCTTACAATGGCTAAGAAGGAACACTAAACCTATAAGCATATTTGGTTTCAGCATCTGTCTGTGAAAGAATCCCACTCACAAGTTCTACTGCACAGTGGGTGACACAATGATGGTCTGCACAGCTTAAGTACTTGTTTTGATAAGCAAGATAAGAAGCCAGTTTTAGAAATTGTTTCAAAAATCTATTTTGTATCTCTCTGTAACTTTTTTTAGCAACTGAAAGTTATGCTCTTAGTGTAATCAAGAAATCAAAATGTGAAATAGACAAATTACACTTACAGATGTGCAAGCTTTCAGCTTACAAAAGAAAGAAATGATTTCATTTCTCTTTTGGGTGTTAGAAAGCCCATGGACCCCGGACTCTGATTTTGAAAGCCGTCGATTAACAGCCTGTGAATGTAAGAGAAAAAAAGTTAATCTGGAGAGAGAGACAGAGGAGCAGCTGTACAAAAAGCATAAAAGAAAGCTGACGTCCAAAAATAACTTTGTCACTCACTGGACAAGAGGACCTGTGCATTACAGAAATCAACCAGGCAAACATATTTTTAAATGTCAAAAAGAGCTTTGGGAAGCAGCCACCAGAAGATGAGTGCACTGTGGTCTTAAATGGATGGACATAGTCACTCAACATTTTATCCCTTTATATTCATTAACCTGAGTAGGTGAATATCACAATGAGGCAAATCATAACAACAGGACCCTGTTGTAAAAATGTGTTTCAGGTGCATCTTAGACAACGTGAAAAGAAAACAATGTGGTTTACCTGCAAGACATGGTACCAGCATAGAAGGATAGCTGACTCTGGAAAAACCTTCTGCAAAGCATTTATTTCCGCAAAGTCTTTGTCAACCATAAATGCTCTACAGAAAAAAAGAAAACACTAAATGAGATTAAACAGTATGAAAATGTTTTTGCTATCTCAAAGCACCACTTCAATGCCAAATTAAACATTTCAACTCACAAGTAGATGTATAAAATACTGCATACAGCCTATAGGAATAACTTTAACAACTGGAAAGGAAAGTTTTTTGCAGCCCATGCTGCAGCTATAGCATTAGATTCTGGCATGTTATAACTTTTTTGAAAAGGAATTATTTCAAAATTAATAGCTGTCAATGTATTATTTACCTCGGGGAAGTTGGGAAATGCTCACAAACTATTCCAAGAACAGTTTCCAGGGTTTTCTGACTTTCGTTGCTGACAATAGCATAGGCCACAGGGACTCCATGCCCATGATCATCTCTTACAACAAGTGTGAATAAGGGAAATGAATACTGGTTAACGCAGTGCGTGGTGTCAACAAATACTAACTGTTTTGCATAGTTCTCCATGTTTGATTTCATTACAGGTGTCTGCAAAACAATCATTAGTTCTTGGTCAGATTTGTATGGTTGATAGAAGAGAACATGTTCTTGATGTTTTCCATTAAGTAAGGTATGTACACTTTGACTGTCTCCACAGTTAAAGTGCTTCTTCCTCATCATGCAGGTTCTAACACTGTCAATGTCACGTGGTGTGACAAAATGCTCTCTGTTGTGAAGATCTCTGTGTCCATGTTCTTTGGCCCATTTATGACATTCGGTTAGTATGATGGCTGGCTTAGTTCCAAGGGAAAGCAGTTCCTCAATCTTCCTCCTCAAATCACTGGAAATATTGTTGAAATGTGCGTCTTTTGGGTCCGAAGGATCATGCCCATCATGCTTATCATATGTACGCTGCACGATGACTGTGTGGTCTTTCCAACATTTGAGTACTTTAAATGAAACATAGGCCTTACAGCCCACTGCTCTGTAGCTGTTTCGACTTTTTTCCCCAGCTCTGATGCAGTTGAATTTGTAATAGTCTCTTTTCCTGTCTTTACCTGAGGCAACATTTAAACATTTATAATGTCCATGAAGGGTTAATGAGTTCAATTTTTCTAACACAACACTGAATGGGTCCTCCTGGCATTGTGACACATGCACACAAAGTTGTGTGTCTTTTCCAGTTCTTTTTTTTTCGTCATTCAGAACACTTCTTCTAATTATGTCGTCCATTTCTGGTGGAAAAATAACGAAGGTTTAATTAGTCAATATTCATTAATTCATTTTAACTTGTTTTGGGGTTTTTTGCAATACAATGTAAATATTAAAAAAAAAAAAAATATATATATATATATATATATAAAATAATATAAAACAAACAGGGGCTAAAAGAAGCTAAACTTTCATATGGTATGTCTCTGGCAACTTTAACATGATGTCCCAGGGACAACATCTACACGATGTCCCAGGGCAACTTCTACACGATGTCCCAGGGACAACAATTACACGATGTCCCAGGGACAACATTTACGCGATGTCCCAGGGACAACATTTACGCGATGTCCCAGGGACAACATTTACGCGATGTCTCAGGGACAACATTTACGCGATGTCCCAGGACAAATTTGTAAATTTCTGGATTACTGTTAATCTCCATAGAATCAAGAACTCATGTCCAGTTTCACAGCTATGGACCAGTTAATTATGTTTCCAGGTGATAGTTTGATTCATAGATTCAGCACACAACCATAAGTCTAGGCCTTTTAGTCCAGATTCTCTTCACTTATGTTTGTAAAATGATCAGGGAAGCTACTGCAATTTTGCCTGACCCAACCCCCGGGTCACGAAACACCCAAAAAGTTGGGGAACGCTGGTCTAGAGAACACTGGTTAGCTAATGCTGTTGTCAAGTAGCCTATCGCTAGCAAACAAACAGCAAGCCAAGTGAGGAACATATGTATAATGCTTACCGTTTATTAAAGGAAAGTATCCTAAATTGACTTCAAATTCGGCGGACAGGCGGCGGTTTTTCACTTCTTCACTTGTATTTCGAAATACTCGAAGGCGGGTATTTCGAAGTCGCAAAGGAATGACGTCACAAGAAGGTGATTGGTCACTTGCAATATTGAACCTGGAACAACATTAATTATGATGATGTGGGAACAATGCTGACACGAGGAAATCAGATCGTCCGTGACCAATCACCTTCTTGTGACGTCATTCCTTTGTTGTCCCTGGGACATCGCGTAAATGTTGTCCCTGAGACATCGCGTAAATGTTGTCCCTGGGACATCGCGTAAATGTTGTCCCTGGGACATCGCGTAAATGTTGTCCTTGGGACATCATGTTAAAGTTGCCAGAGACATACCATATGAAAGTTTAGCTTCTTTTAGCCCCTGTTTGTTTTATATTATTATATATATATATATATTTTTTAATATTATATTTAATATTTACATTGTATTGCAAAAAACCCCAAAACAAGTTAAAATGAATTAATGAATATTGACTAATTAAACCTTCGTTATTTTTCCACCAGAAATGGACAATATAATTAGAAGAAGTGTTCTCAATGACGAAAAAAAAAAACTGGAAAAGACACACAACTTTGTGTGCATGTGTCACAATGCCAGGAGGACCCATTCAGTGTTGTGTTAGAAAAATTGAACTCATTAACCCTTCATGGACATTATAAATGTTTAAATGTTGCCTCAGGTAAAGACAGGAAAAGAGACTATTACAAATTCAACTGCATCAGAGCTGGGAAAAAAAGTTGAAACAGCTACAGAGCAGTGGGCTGTAAGGCCTATGTTTCATTTAAAGTACTCAAATGTTGGAAAGACCACACAGTCATCGTGCAGCGTACATATGATAAGCATGATGGGCATGATCCTTCGGACCCAAAAGACGCACATTTCAACAATATTTCCAGTGATTTGAGGAGGAAGATTGAGGAACTGCTTTCCCTTGGAACTAAGCCAGCCATCATACTAACCGAATGTCATAAATGGGCCAAAGAACATGGACACAGAGATCTTCACAACAGAGAGCATTTTGTCACACCACGTGACATTGACAGTGTTAGAACCTGCATGATGAGGAAGAAGCACTTTAACTGTGGAGACAGTCAAAGTGTACATACCTTACTTAATGGAAAACATCAAGAACATGTTCTCTTCTATCAACCATACACATCTGACCAAGAACTAATGATTGTTTTGCAGACACCTGTAATGAAATCAAACATGGAGAACTATGCAAAACAGTTAGTATTTGTTGACACCACGCACTGCGTTAACCAGTATTCATTTCCCTTATTCACACTTGTTGTAAGAGATGATCATGGGCATGGAGTCCCTGTGGCCTATGCTATTGTCAGCAACGAAAGTCAGAAAACCCTGGAAACTGTTCTTGGAATAGTTTGTGAGCATTTCCCAACTTCCCCGAGGTAAATAATACATTGACAGCTATTAATTTTGAAATAATTCCTTTTCAAAAAAGTTATAACATGCCAGAATCTAATGCTATAGCTGCAGCATGGGCTGCAAAAAACTTTCCTTTCCAGTTGTTAAAGTTATTCCTATAGGCTGTATGCAGTATTTTATACATCTACTTGTGAGTTGAAATGTTTAATTTGGCATTGAAGTGGTGCTTTGAGATAGCAAAAACATTTTCATACTGTTTAATCTCATTTAGTGTTTTCTTTTTTTCTGTAGAGCATTTATGGTTGACAAAGACTTTGCGGAAATAAATGCTTTGCAGAAGGTTTTTCCAGAGTCAGCTATCCTTCTATGCTGGTACCATGTCTTGCAGGTAAACCACATTGTTTTCTTTTCACGTTGTCTAAGATGCACCTGAAACACATTTTTACAACAGGGTCCTGTTGTTATGATTTGCCTCATTGTGATATTCACCTACTCAGGTTAATGAATATAAAGGGATAAAATGTTGAGTGACTATGTCCATCCATTTAAGACCACAGTGCACTCATCTTCTGGTGGCTGCTTCCCAAAGCTCTTTTTGACATTTAAAAATATGTTTGCCTGGTTGATTTCTGTAATGCACAGGTCCTCTTGTCCAGTGAGTGACAAAGTTATTTTTGGACGTCAGCTTTCTTTTATGCTTTTTGTACAGCTGCCCCTCTGTCTCTCTCTCCAGATTAACTTTTTTCCTCTTACATTCACAGGCTGTTAATCGATGGCTTTCAAAATCAGAGTCCGGGGTCCATGGGCTTTCTAAAACCCAAAAGAGAAATGAAATCATTTCTTTCTTTTGTAAGCTGAAAGCTTGCACATCTGTAAGTGTAATTTGTCTATTTCACATTTTGATTTCTTGATTACACTAAGAGCATAATAACTTTCAGTTGCTAAAAAAAAGTTACAGAGAGATACAAAATAAATTTTTGAAACAATTTCTAAAACTGGCTTCTTATCTTGCTTATCAAAACAAGTACTTAAGCTGTGCAGACCATCATTGTGTCACCCACTGTGCAGTAGAACTTGTGAGTGGGATTCTTTCACAGACAGATGCTGAAACCAAATATGCTTATAGGTTTAGTGTTCCTTCATAGCCATTGTAAGGGAAGAAATAATTGCTTCTTAATACAAAAACACGACATATTATTAATAACTTAAAATTCTTAATGTTATTCAATAAAAGGAAAAGGGCTTCAATACATAATATTAAAGATTTCAATAGGTCTGTTAAATGGATTGAAATATATTCTGTTGCATCCAATTCTCTTAGGAGGACGACTTTAAAGCCACATCAGCAGAGTTCTGCCAGACAAGCAATACCCTTTGGTGTGCCAGTATTTTCAGAAGCACTGGGAAGGCATTGGCCACATGTGGTGTGACTACGGCCGTCGCTTCAGTCACGCTCGTTCTAAAACAAACAATGTGATTGAAAGGTATGATTTATTATTTTGACCTCATTCAATTGTATTGCTGAAAAAAAGATATTATGCTTTAATCCAAGAGGCTAAACTGAGTAGGTTCGTCATGTCATTGCCAGAACAGGTTTTAGGCAAATCCTTTAAATTCTAGCAGCGTTTTTTATGTTATCACAACAAAAAACAGAGTAGGTGGATTTGCCTAAATCAGCTAAACCGGCACAGAGCATTCCTTTATAAAAGACGTGTGCAATAGGTATTCCAATTTTTAAAAAAATAATACAGTCTTGATTAAAACTTTAAATTCCTTCAATTACAGTTACTAATCATTTCAAATAACTGTTTTTCAGATTTTTCCACCGCCTGAAATACCAGTTTTTATCTGGCTACAAGAATAGGCGTCTGGATGATCTGATTGAAGTGCTCCTAGGGAAGGCCGACGACTACTTCTCAGTCATAAAAACCCTGCAAGATGTGGGCCGCATGAAAAACAGGTTTGCTGACACCTTGTCTCAAGTTTCAGACTCTGCTTCAAGACTGATGGAAAGTGGTTGGGCTCTTAAAATTACAGTCAAGAACAGCCATGGAGTTAATGCATATCAAGTCCCATCTGAGTCAAGAGAAGACATGGTGTATGATGTCTGCCCTGTTGAGTCCTACTGCAACTGTACATATGGCTTACGAGGACTTCTTTGCAAGCATCTAGTGTTACTTGCAAAATTAGCAGAGGCTGACAATGACATCTATCCAAACATGGAAACAGACATTTCTACCTTGGCAAGAATTGCAGTGAAAGAAAGGCATTACTTTGTACACTGTGAGGACTTGAAAGTGATAAAAATGCCAAGTTTGTTTGGAAATCTGTTTTTTTGCATCGGCTGAAACACTTCAGTGCACTTGTTGTACGTTCTCTCACTATAACACATGTGCTTGCCTGAAGGTGGCTTGTAGCCATTTTAAACAAATGAAAAACTCTCTGAAAAGTCCTCTATCAACTTTGAATGACACTCCTGTAGTTGAAAGCACAGACAAAAAATGCACAGAAGATGCAGTTGGAAAACTAAATGCTGTTTTAGACACAGTTAAACAGTGGGCATTCATTCCAGAGGGTATTACTGCAATGATAGATGAACTGCATACAAATGTCTTAAAAACAAAACAAGTAGGCAAAAGTATATGCCAGTACGAAATAAAGACGACAGATAATGCACGCAAAATTAGGCCATTGTATTCTAGCAAGAAACGTTCGGCCAGCATCGACATTCCAACAGTCTGTGAAAATGAATGTGAACAGTCGATAACCACTGAAAGAGAGACATCCTCTGGAGAAAATGAAAACCTTTTGGAATACAAAACAAAAAAGAGAAGAGTTAAAGCTAAGTATATGCACAAGTAGACTTTTGTGTGACATTTCAAAGGGACTGCATCCATTACTTCTGTTTATTGAAACCTAAAGCTGAATAGCTGTCTTAACTTTCTGCCAAGGAACAGATGAAAAGAAATTGTTTGGTCTCTCAAGCAGTTGTTATTTATGTGTGTTATTCATTACTTTGGCTTGGTTGCTGTTTTTGATACAAATTCATCTGTGCCCATTGTAATATTTTCACATGTTACTATTTTTATATTGCTATGCATTATAAATAAAGGATTACTTATTACTATTAAAGGTCTGCATTTGTAATTGTTGGTATTATTTATAAAATATGCGCTCTTAAGTTTTTTGCTCCATAAAACGATACCTGTCACTTTTTGGACATGGTAAATGGCCTGCATTTGTATAGCGCTTTTCTAGTCCATAGGACCCCAAAGCGCTTTACACTACATTCAGTCATTCACCCATTCACACACACATTCACACACTGGCGATAGCAAGCTACACTGTAGCCACAGCTGCCCTGGGGCGCACTGACAGAGGCGAGGCTGCCGGACACAGGCGCCACCACCAGCTGATACAGACAGAGTATCAGCTGTTGAGAATCCTGGCTCATACAAAATAGAAGTAAAAGGTTTCAACATCCAGCCTTTTTATGATTAAATACAAAGTGTAATAACAGAGTTATTGGAGTGTGATTTTGTTAATAGTTAGTCTTAAGTATAAGTTTAATAGTAATGAGTAAGAAAATATAGCCAGAATAATGGAATGAGACTAACACCTGACCTCACACTGAGATTTGGTATGAAGTGGCATGTTTGTGCTAATGCTGACATTGGGGCTCAGAGTTCCTCTGTGTGTATATATTTGTGAACGTTAACTTGGCTAATGTCCAAGGGTTTGACTGCTTTCCTGTTGGATTGTATCACAAAGAACAGGGATAAGAGCACCAGTGGCCGTGCACACCCTCATCTCTCTCCTTCACCCGATCATTAGTGTTGGAAACCGGCATTAGCTCAGAGTAGATTAGACTTCAGTATAGTGCAAGTGATTTGATTTTATGATTATTTGATTCAGTTTTTTCTGTGTTCAAGCTCAATTACTTTAATAAAATATGTTGAATTCAAACAAATAAATAAACAAATAAACTGTGGACATTACCCTTTTAAACCTTTCTGAAACAAGACAGGTAAAAACCAGTGTATAAAAGTTTACATAGGTATAAATAGCTCTAACACTTTACTCCAGCCTGGCGTCCACACATGTGGACATCACATTTTGGGTTATTTAGACCAAAATACTAAATCTTGATCAACAAGTGCCTGATATACAGTTACGAGGACATTATACTGCAACTGTTCTATCGAAATTTCAAATTAATGTCCTCATATGTGGCTCTCATTTGTCTCAGAAACAAAAATTAGGTAAAAAAACAAAACCTGGTAATTCTTTCTTTTTACATTAATCGGGTTCCAATCGGCCCAAGTATCAAAGAGAAATTAAAAATGCATGCCATGGAAGATTTCGGGTCTTAGGGGGTTAAAATGACCAGACCCCTCCGGCCTGTTTTCCAGGCCACTAAATTAAACCCAGTCAATTACCAATTGAACAGAATAAAAACCTACGAGGTCCACTAATAGTCCAAATCTTTAATAGAAAAGACAGGCAGAACTCAAACAAACAATAATCCAAACGAGGAGCATATATACACACTGGAAAGTAAATAATTATAAGTTATTAAATCAGACTAATTAAATACAGTAAAACTAATAAGGGAAGACGAACACACGGGAAATAAAAATAACAGTGTAAACATACCAAAACTCAAAATAAAACAGGAAAGCTACTACAAACCGAGTGTGACACAATTACATTCATATTGAAACATATGTGATAATTTTCTTTCTTTGTAGCATTTTTAAGATATGTGTTAGAACAGTCATTATGCTGTTTGGATTAGGAACCAATCATTTTTGCCAAATAGTTAACACAAACTTAGAACAACAATGAACAATTTTCAAGATTCTGATTTACAGAACAAACAAAAGTCACAAAAGGTTTCATTATTTAAGAGACAAGATCAAGTTTTTCACACAGGAATGAAATGACAGAATCCAGTGCAGCGGGGCCAAAGGTGTGTGTCAGCAAACTGAAGGTTGAGGAATCAGTCAGCTCATGTTTAAGATTGTGTTGGATTTTGAGAAGAGTCTGTCTGTTATTAGAAAGTAAGATTAACAATGTTACACCAATAACCCAAATACGGGGAAATGACAAATAATACCAAAAAAGATACAACTTTTATATTGTTTTACTAACTTACTTTGTCATATCAGCACTTGAATGGTCGATGCCTTTACAGACCATGTCTGTTGTGACATCGCAGGCCAATCTTCCGGCAAACCCGAGGGCTAGCTCCCCAGCCTCCTCTTCACTCAGAACACTAAACACTGTTTATGCTGATTTTTTCCCTTTTTCCGTGTGAGCTTACCTGCGATAACTTCTGGACACTTGTAGATCATTAGGACTAGAGTGTTCTTAACAGAAACAGCAACATTTTATGGTTACCTTGTCCTCAGCGCTCCGTGTGTCTGTGGCCTAGACACAGCTGAAGCCTGATTACAGCGTCTGGGCACCGAGCAGCCTCAATAGCCTGGAAAGGTGCTAACCGCTAGGCTAACTAGCAACAAGATGCCTTCCCTCTCCACAGATGACTACCACAGCCTCCTGCAGAAGATTGCAGTACTGGAGACTCAGTGCACTTTATCGACAACTTTAATATTTTTTGGGAACGCAGGCATCTGTTCAAAGCAAATGGATTTAATTTTAACAAGTCAGGGGTGAAACTGTTCACCTCCAACTTGTTTTATTCCATACGTCATCCATCCGTGCTTGGTGCCAAGGCTGAGATAAACGAGGAGTTATCTCATAAAGAGGAACAAACAGTACTCCAAGAACAGACAAAGCCCAGCAGAAACCTTGAGGAGGAGCTCCATTTGCCCCCACCCGGGAAGAGCCTCAGAAAGGAGAGACATCTAAGGCAAGAAGAGGGGTCCCTATTTGCCTCCAACTCTCTCAACAACACCAACGACCAGGACAAGGGACCACGACCTTCCCCAGTCCCCCAAACCCCTGACAGGCCATCACCCTCCTCCCCCTCCCTTTCTCCCTCCTCCCCACACCTGAAATTCACTGAGGAGATGATGGAGCGGGTCAATGCTGGGCTCAGATCTACTCCCCGTCCCAATCCCTTTTTGTCCCCTATAAACCCCCCACCAGAGCGGCCAAAGGTTCGCCATCGAGCCCCACCCTCAACAGAGCAATCGAAGTCACATTGCCCAGCCTCGCCCCCCTTAGTTCCTCTTCATGCCCTGTCTCCGCAGTCTGATGTGTGATATGTGAAGGGTCTGGGCTGTGAGGATTATGGCAGTGGTGACTTTTCCCAGGAGAAGCTGGGACCCTGTTTACTAGAAGGTTTTAAAATTTCTGTACTTTTAGGTGACAGGAGACATGTGGCCTGGTCAAAACACAGAGAGCTGCACTCTCAAAGATCTTTAAATATAGTAAACATACCTTCTGTGCCACAGACTGCTCCCAAACACGAGGGGACAAGTAATACCTCTAAAACACTTAAGTTGGCTTTATTAAACGTTAGATCTTTAGCTGGGAAAACATTTTTAATTAATGATTTAATCACTGAGCACAGCCTTGATTTTATGTTTTTAACTGAAACTTGGTTGGACCAAAGTAACAGTGGAGCTGTTCTCATCGAGACGACCCCTCCTAACTACAGTTTTATCAGTGAGGTCAGGGCGAGCAGGAGAGGAGGAGGGGTTGCTGTCTTATTTAATGAATCATTTCAATGTAAGCAGCTATCTCCTGGAAGTTTTCAGTCTTTTGAATATGTGGCTTTACAGCTGAAGGCCCCATCCAAAGTTGTGTTTCTTAATGTTTACAGGCCTCCCAAATACTGCACAGACTTTTTTAATGACCTCAGTGAACTGCTGTCTGTGATCTGTGTTGATTTTGACTGTGTAATTATTGTTGGGGATTTTAACATCCATGTGGACAACCCTCAGGACAAAGGGACTAAAGACCTGAGTAACACTCTGGGCAACTTTGGGCTGACTCAGCATGTAACAGAGGCCACACATAATAGAGGACACACTCTTGACCTACTGATCTCCAAAGGCCTGAGCATTTCAAAGGTTACTGTGTCTGATGTGGGCCTGTCTGATCATTACTGTGTTTAAAATCTCAGCCCACACAAATATATCAACAACAGTGATCACAAAACGGTGTATAACTGAACACAGTAGTGCAATTTTTAACCAGGTCTTCCCATTAACACCTGACCTGCCCAGAGGGTCAGTCAATGAGCTCGTCAATAGCTTCAATGCTAACATGTTAAATGTAATGGACACTATTGCTCCCATTAAGGTGAAGGTTATCTCAGGAAGGAAAAAGTCTCCATGGAGAAACTCCACACTGGTGAAAAATGAAAAAAGAGAGTGTAGGAAAGCTGAGCGCAGATGGAGAAAAACAAACCTCCAGGTTCATTATGACATTTATAAAGAGAAACTTCACAATTATAATTTACAACTGAGGAATGCAAGGAGGTCCTACTTCTCTGACATCATCACTAAAAACAGCCATAATGCTCGGGTCTTATTTTCTACAGTTGACAGGCTAACAAACCCTCCTGTGTCAGTGGCAGCTGAACTTCATTCGACCATGGCCTGCAATGACTTTGCCAAATTCTTCACTGAAAAAATCCAAAAAATTAGACAAGCAATTGGTACATCAACAGCAGATCCAGGATATGTACTGTGTCCACCAAAAAACTGTTTAAACACCATGAAACAGTTTCAACCTATTAACAGCAAAGACCTGGAGGACATCTTAGGTCAACTGAACTCCTCCTCCTGCTGTTTAGATGTCCTGCCAACAAGTTTTTTCAAAAAGGTCTCAAAGACTTTAGAGTCAGACCTGTTACAGATCGTCAACTTTTCTTTATTATCAGGTGTGTTTCCAGAATCACTAAAAACTGCTGTAATCAAACCTATACTGAAAAAGGACAATCTTGACAAGACACAAATGAACAACTACAGGCCGATCTCAAATCTCCCGTTTTTAAGTAAGATCATTGAAAAAGCAGTTTCTCAACAGCTCAGTTACTTCTTAAAACAGAATAATTGCTACGATGCCTTCCAGTCAGGTTTTAGACAGAACCACAGCACTGAAACCGCTCTGACCAAAGTGTTTAATAACATATGTCTGAATACAGACAGTGGAAAAATGTCAGTCCTAGTTTTACTGGATCTCAGTGCAGCATTTGATACAGTTGACCACAACATATTACTCAAACGACTGGAGAACTGGACAGGTCTTTCAGGAACTGTACTAAACTGGTTCAAAACATACGTAGAAAACAGGAAATACTTTGTATCAATAGGTAACTTCACATCTGAGCATACAAGTATCACATGTGGAGTTCCCCAAGGTTCCATCTTGGGACCCCTTCTGTTTAACATCTACATGCTCCCACTGGCACAGATTATAAACAACAACAAAATAAACTATCACAGCTATGCAGATGACACACAAATATATATCACAATGTCACCAGGAGACCGAGGCCCTGTACAGGCTCTTGGTAAATGCATTGAGGAAATCAATGACTGGTTGTGCCACAATTTTCTCCAGCTAAACAAAAACAAAACTGAGGTAATAGTCTTTGGCGCCAAAGAAAAACGATTACAGGTCACCAGAGAACTTCAATCTATACATCTAAAAACCACAAACCAGGCGAGAAATTTGGGTGTAGTGATGGATGCAGACCTAAACTTAGAAAAACACATTAAGACAATAACAAAGTCAGCTTACTATCACCTCAAGAATATATCAAGGATAAAAGATCTGATGTCTCAACAGGACCTGGAAAAACTAGTCCATGCATTCATCTTTAGTAGGCTTGATTACTGTAACAGCATCTTTACAGGTCTACCTAAAAAATCAGTCAGACAACTACAGCTCATTCAGAACTCTGCTGCTCGAGTCCTCACTAAGACCAAAAAAGTGGACCACATCAGTCCAGCTCTGAGGTTCTTACACTGGCTGCCTGTCCGTCAGAGGATAGACTTTAAAGTTCTGATGCTGGCCTATAAAGCTCTGAATGGTTTAGGACCAAAATACATCAATGACCTCCTGACCCAGTATGAACCATCCAGATCCCTCAGGTCATCTGGATCCGGTCTTTTATCAGTTCCCAGAGTCAGAACCAGACACGGAGAAGCTGCATTCAGCTTTTATGCTCCTTATATCTGGAACAAACTCCCAGAAAGCCTCAGATCAGCTGAAACACTCAGTTTATTTAAATCCAGGTTGAAGACTCACCTGTTCTCAGCTGCATTTGAATAAAGCACCAAATCCACACTTTAAGCTTAAATTTCAAAACTTACATTTAACTACTGATTTTATCTGTTTTGATTTTATCTGTTTTGATTTTATATACTGTTTTGTTTGTTTGTTTGTTAATTAGTTAGTTAGGTTATTTGCTTGTTTTAATCAATTTTAAATCATGCTTTTTATTTGTTCTTGTTTCTAATGTCTCTGTAAAGCACTTTGAATCACCTTGTTGTTGAATTGTGCTATACAAATAAACTTGCCTTGCCTTGCCTAGTGTGTACAAAACAAATCAAGACCACAGACTCAACACGCACCACTCAATTTTTGGTGTTCTTTATCAGTTGGCCAAGACAGAAATGTTTTAATCTGTGTGCATTGCTTTTGAACAAGTCTTTACACAGAAAAGGTTTCAGAAAGGTATTTTTCAGGTTCTTCTGACAAGGCTTCAATTTTGGAAAATGCTGTTTGTTTATAGTGGCAACTTATAAACCCTTTGTGATAAGAACATAGTTACCACAGTCCAAGTCATACCTTCAAAAAGTATGCACTTTGTGCTCTTGTGGACCCATCCAAAATTTTTCCAGTGATTTGACTTGGTATTGGATAAATGTGAGGGAAATTCTATAAAAATAACATAAATACACCTATGTTTTCAAATACATTACAAAAAACGTAAACATGCTATGTCATTATGATCAAACAAGCTTTTCAACATACCTCACACTGCAAATAGATTAGGCCATCTATTACCTTATAAAACAAATAAATAAATACATATAAATAAAAACAGAACTAAGGAATACGATTCATTAAGTAAATTGTACAATAAAGTGTATTTAAAGCAGAATTTAACATTAGTTTTATGACAACATAAAAGGATTTTTATGTCAAGAGGTACCTCATCTGAAATGTTAGTCTGGTCAAACAGGGATTTCAAACTTGAAATACAATAGAGTTTGGTCCAGCTACTCCCACAAGGTAATCTGTGAGAAAGCATATGCTGTAGTCAACAGATATCATTTTCTTTTTGCATGCTGCAACCATCATCCATTTCAGTCTTCTAGGAGCTTTGTCTGGTTGTAGTTCTTTTTTCTCCTCCTCTCCCCTCATCTATTAATTAAATTGTTTTCTGACCTTCCTATCTGTTTCCGACCTGTCTTCCCAATGTGATGTTTAAGCAATATATGTATGGTCAGAAGGGGGTGAAATTTTCATTGCAGTTGTACGTGTAACATTGCATGTGATAATAAAAGGCTTGATTGGTTGATTATTCAACATGAGTTGACATTTACCTGACATTGTGAAGGAGTCACAGTTTCTGTAAGGGTGTAAGAACATAACATGTGGATTTGTTACACTTCTTTTTCACAAGTTAATAACAATCAATAATTTTCATTCCATTATTTACAAGCTATCACACGATGTCCCAGGGACAACATCTACGCGATGTCCCAGGGACAACATCTACGCGATGTCCCAGGGACAACATCTACGCGATGTCTCAGGGACAACATCTACGCGATGTCTCAGGGACAACATCTACGCGATGTCTCAGGGACAACATCTACGCGATGTCCCAGGGACAACATTTACGCGATGTCCCAGGGACAACATTTACGCGATGTCCCTGGGACAACATTTACGCGATGTCCCTGGGACAACATTTACGCGATGTCCCTGGGACAACATTTACGCGATGTCTCAGGGACAACATTTACGCGATGTCCCTGGGACAACATTTACGCGATGTCCCCTGGGACAACATTTACGCGATGTCCCTGGGACAACATTTACGCGATGTCCCAGGGACAACATTTACGCGATGTCCCTGGGACAACATTTACGCGATGTCCCTGGGACAACATTTACGCGATGTCTCAGGGACAACATTTACGCGATGTCCCTGGGACAACATTTACGCGATGTCCCTGGGACAACATTTACGCGATGTCCCAGGACAAATTTGTAAATTTCTGGATTACTGTTAATCTCCATAGAATCAAGAACTCATGTCCAGTTTCACAGCTATGGACCAGTTAATTATGTTTCCAGGTGATAGTTTGATTCATAGATTCAGCACACAACCATAAGTCTAGGCCTTTTAGTCCAGATTCTCTTCACTTATGTTTGTAAAATGATCAGGGAAGCTACTGCAATAGCTAGGTTTCATTTGACGTAGACGTGACGTCGACGTAAAGCGCGAAATTTGACTGGCGGTCGGAAGTGAAAAAGATAAGCGCAAAATCACAGACAGACAGTACGCAAAATGCCTATGTCCTGTTGTGTTTGCCTGACCCAACCCCCGGGCCACGAAACACCCAAAAAGTTGGGGGAACGCTGGTCTAGAGAACACTGGTTAGCTAATGCTGTCGTCAAGTAGCCTATCGCTAGCAAACAAACAGCAAGCCAAGTGAGGAACATATGTATAATGCTTACCGTTTATTAAAGGAAAGTATCCTAAATTGACTTCAAATTCGGCGGACAGGCGGCGGTTTTTCGCTTCTTCACTTGTATTTCGAAATAATCGAAGGCGGGTATTTCGAAGTCGCAAAGGAATGACGTCACAAGAAGGTGATTGGTCACTTGCAATGTTGAACCTGGAACAACATTAATTATGATGATGTGGGAACAATGCTGACACGAGGAAATCAGATCGTCCGACTTGTTTTTCCTTTCGTTCACCACTTCCGTGTTCCTCAGGAGTAGTAATAAATAGCTGTTTTAAGACTGGCGATACCAGCACAGGCTCCATAGCTCAGTGGTTAGAGCACTGGTCTTGTAAACCAGGGGTCGCGAGTTCGATCCTCGCTGGGGCCTGTCGCGGGACAACCTTTTAATCCCTTCAACATAATTAAAAAAAAAAAAATTCAGGTATGTTACATTGTTGCTGTTTTTTCTTTTCGTTCTCTAATAACCATGTTGATCGACAGAGACGGATTTACGGCCGTGTCATTGGTGGCAAATAGCATTTATATCTAGAATGTTTCAGTCAGTCATGTTTGGCACTGATCACCACCTGCACTCATGTATATATCTATCTACTTAGCACTTTTAATTCTTATTCTTATTTTTATTTTCATGTCTATTTAAGCGTAATTTATGACAGTATGTTTGCACTGAAGCACCGCAGCAATTTCCTAATGTTGTAAACCTGCTCAACATTTGGCAATAAAACCCTTTCTGATTCTGATTCTGATTCGCTTAACTCAAATTGTACAGGTTCAATTATTAGCTGGCTTTTTTGTTGTTCGTCAACTACGTAGTGTTACCACGACGAGCAAAACATTTCTCGTGCTACATCAATATTAAATGAATAGTCACAATAGTTATCACTAGGTAAACGCTATAATCGTCTTATAAACAGTTTAAGACATTTAACTTCCGAGTCATCATAATTAAAATGGCATATTAATATTCACAGATCAAAACCTACATGCTTGACTGAAAAAGACTGAGGTACTTTGAGTAATAATAATCATAAATAATCCCTCGGTTACATAAAGCGCTAATGAAAACAGAAGGCTTGGGCTTGATATAATTTCATGTTATAGCATTAGAAATACGATCCAACAGCGACCCCTGTCTCCGACTCTCGAAAATTGGTTCAATTTCTAATCTGGCGAGCCTAAATTTCTGAGTAACACAAGCAAGAGTCATCGCCTGCATGAAGCTGTACAGTACATAAGCATCATTATTACAGCTATGAAACATACCAAACAATAGTAGATGGGTCGATGGACTCAGTCACACTCAGAAGGGAATGTGATTTTTGGGTAACTCAACGTCAGGATGGCCGAGCGGTCTAAGGCGCTGCGTTCAGGTCGCAGTCTCCCCTGGAGGCGTGGGTTCGAATCCCACTTCTGACATCAGTTATTTTCTTGAACAACTGAGGTTCTGAAGACGGTTTTCCTGTGAAATGCTCGTACACGGTCCATGATGAGGCAAACTTGCTCTCAAACCGCATGTAAATGTGCTCTTATCCCCTTGGATGCTGGGAATTTGAAAACAGAAATTTTTAATTTGCAAGAGCTCTTAATCTACTAATACGAATCAACATTGCTATAAAACACTTGGCTGGAAAATATGAACCCATGAAATGTCAACAAGGAAAAGAAAGCTGTTTTTATTGTAATTATTTTTATGTGGTAAATACCATGACCGTAACCAACAATAATAAAAATGTAATTAGCAGAATTTCTAAGATGAATGTAGGCTATGCCGCAAAAGTGCTTCCTTAGAATACGTATGTTAGGTCACCCCATGAGCCATATGAATTGAATTAATGCACCAAAAGTTTAGCAGGAGCAGGCTTGTGTGGCACCGCGCCCTGTAAACTTCAGCGCACGATGTGACGCAGATGCAGTTTTGACTCATCACAACTTTTAAAACAAACTGTAAATGGGGGAAAGGCAGGGAATTCCTTCGAAACATAAAACAGGATCAATTTTGTGCTTATTACAGAGATAGATGTGCTTCACACATCAGATCCCGCCTGCCTTTTCCCCTCTGCTGGCGAAGCGGGAAATACTCTCTCGGTTCATGCGATTACACTCATTTCCAGGAGCGCCGGGTAATTGCTTGAGTCAGCACAGAATCTCACGTAGATGTGATGAAGACACGCGTACAGAAGCGACGCGCTGAGTGATGCGAATGGGCATTGTGACTCAAATGCGCACTTATGTTCGCTCGTGTAAATGTGCTGGCTGAGCATTAAGCACACTGCGCGGTGCTTAAGCGGGCTGAAAGGCTGTGACTAAGTGAGCGTATAAACTGTTACTTTAACTCTCCTAAACTGATTTCTTCTCTCTCAGTCCCAGCAGCATGAGCCTGTGCAGCATCCTATTTATAGGACCCAGTATTGCGATCCATGTGATTAGGCTGACACAAAGCTAGAAGAGGAGATCCATGATTACTATCTCCAGACGTGGGTGGTGATATATACGCACACTGTGGGATTATTTTGACATGCTAAGCCGAGTTGTTGATTGCTTTTTAGTAACAGTGTGCTGGGTGAATTCACCAGTGTGAAAATCTAAGGCGGTTTAATACGCTATGGTTTCTGATTTACGTGGATCTTTTTTAGGTCACTTATTTCAAAAAGATTTAAGTGAAATGTGATTTCTAGAACAGGCCAGCAGTTTATATACATCACCTGCCGACTGTAAGCTAAAACATTTAGCCGCAAAATACATTTTATTTGTTTAAATTATTTTATTTTTAATTTCATTTAGTGGTTTAAGCTTCATAGATATGACTTTTTCATCTCCCTGTCATGATATTAAAATGTTTTCTTATATGGACTCCTGTCAGAAAGAAAGCTTTCAGGCTGGACTCTGTGCAGCTAAGTACTCCCTGTGATTCTGTAGCTTGTAGCATAACTTTAAGTTATTGTTTTCTGTATGTTACTTCAGTTCACTCAGGTTCTTTTAAAGCCCTGCCAAGGTTTTTCAGTCAGATTGAGGTCTGGACTTTGGGCCACTGCATCACCTTAATCCTTTTTCAGCCATTCTGTTGAAGATTTGCTGCTGTGCTTGAGGTTGGTGTTCTGCTGTATGACCCAGTTTCAGCCAACCGTCATCTTACAGACAAATTGGCCTCACATTAGACTCTAGAATACTTTAGTATACAGAGTTCATGGTTGAATCAGTGGTTGCAGGGCTCAAACCAAACCCAAATCATCACCCCTCCACCACGGTGTTTCTGCAGATATGCTGTCTTTGGTTTTCACCAGACGTGGTGCCCTGCATTAATGACAAAACATCTCCACATTGGCCTCATTTGTATATTTTTTTCAAGTCTTGTTGTTTGTTAAGATGCAACTTAAAAACCTAAGCTATGGCACCTTATGGCGTTCTTTCTTTCCTTCTCTGAGAATTGCACAGTCTGAAGATTTTGTCATTTTGTTAACACACCTGAGTGCTCCAGTCCAGCAAAACCTCTACTTTTATACGGGTGCATTTAATTGGCACCACATGGCTGATATTTACCCTCTTAATTCCTATACAATACAATACAGTTTTATTATATAGCACATTTAAAAACACAAAGGCACACCAAAGTGCTTCACAATAATACAGAAAATCAACATAAATCAATTAAGAAAGTACAGATTGGGCACTAGCACCAGCACAGACGGAAAGGAGGCACTAATAGACCAGAAGAGTTAAGTAAAATAGGTATCGAACATCCAAAGGTTAGGTGCAGCTGAAGCAAAGGCATGATCGCGTCTGGTCTTCAGCCTAAACTTAGGTTGGGCCAGGAGTAATTGACCTGATGATCTTAACGCTCGGCAAGGAGAGTACAGATTGAGGAGATCAGTGAGATAACTGGGCGCAATATTATTCAGAATTTTAAAAGTGACTAGCAAAATCTTAAACTCAATGCGATATTTAACCAATGTGAATCAACAAGAGCTGGAGTGATAGAATCTAATTTTCTAGCTCCAGTAAGAAGGTGAGCCGCAGCATTCGGAACAAGCTGTAGCCTATGAAGAGCGACGGCTTGGAGACCAAAGTAAAGAGAATTACTACAGTCTAACCTGGAGGTTCCTTCCTATGGAAGGATTTACTTGGATTTTGGAGAACTCTAAACCGTTCTTATTCACATGGCTCGATTTCATAAATACCAAACAAAGTCCTAAAATGATGAAAATAAATAATAAAATAATAATAGAAAATATTATTATTATTATTTTATAAATAATAAAATAATAATTAAATAAAACATAAATAGCTTTTAAAAAATTCTCTTTATTCTTTCAAATATTAGGTCATTTATTAGGCTACAAACAAAGCGTTATATCCAGGACTGCTGCAGTTCAGGCTGAATTAATAAGGCCTGTGTACTTACAAATGATGACCAGCAGATGGTGCTCAATGACAGCTTCCAAAATAATTCCCACCATTCTTTCTGGCCTTTTTCTTTAGAGAACTAAAGTACGACATACATAGACTTGCTAGAAAACACTGTAATGGTTTCTACTTTAAAACACACTTTTTTTTAATCAAACATTTAAACGAGAATGCCGTCTGTTTTTTGTTTCCAACATTTCCTGCAAGACAAGATCGCAATTCTGATCTAAGGAATCCAATAATCCTCATCTGACCTTAAATACCACTTTCTTTCTATTTGTTTGATACGATCCAGCCACTTTTACTGCTACGGCCGCTTCATACCTGTGCATATTGTTCGCAATAACCTTCAAGCTTGTCTGCATTCTTATCTTAAAAAGAACAAGCAATCATATTTTGGTCCAGGATCTTGGCTCTGTGTAAACGCTGGAGGCTGGGGGCCGTTTGATGTTGTTATGGCTGGCTGGCTGCCGCCTCAGCACTACTGGATCTGCAGGCCCCTCTCATGTCCAAAGGTATTGTGTTGGCTGTTCTTTTGATTATATTATCAACAGAGAGAAAATTAAGACTCCCACTGGACATGAGTAAACAAACAAAAGTTTGTAGAGTCTGGTTCATCCAAAGAATGTCAGCTATTCAGACTGCTCTGAGGATATTGATGTCCAGTGTTGGGATTATCATGCCGAATATTATTCTTACTTGAAAATGTTATCAGTCCTTGGTTTGCGAGAGAGATGAAAAGCATGAAAATACTAAAGAGGGAAGGACAAGTATCCCAAACTTGAGATTGTTCATGTAAATG